TAAAAAAGCCAGTAATTAAAAGTTAAGAAATTTGCCAATAAAGAATTTTGTTTAATATATGATTGTTTAAGAAATAATTAATAAAGAAATATAACACTTTTGAAATACCAAATTTAAATTACATTTAGTTATAATTATATTGTTTGAATGATTTTTAAATGTTTGAAATCGGGGTTGGATTAGTATAAATTGTATCTTTTGTACATTAGTTCATAATCCTTATTTTTTAACATATTATCTCTAATTATCACCATTTGACGGAATTTAAAATAGTGTAAGTTACTGTTATAATTTACAGTTTGAGTTATAATTTAAAGTTTAAGTTGCAGTTATAGTGAAATGAGCAAGTTATAGTGTAATGAGCAAGTAACTTATATAATACTGTTACAATATTACTAATAAGTAATTATTTTTCTTAACATGATACTTAAAAAAAGTTTAAGCAAAAACGCAAATTTTAAAATATTTAAACCACTTTAATTAGTTATAGAAAACTATTTAATACGTTCATGCAGACAATAAAACACCTGCTATTTTTAAAGAGTATTGTAATTGTATTGTAAAAAGCTATAAAACAACAAATAAACAAACTGCAAAGTTGTTTTGACAATGTGAAGAGCTTGCATTAATGTAAAGCAACTTTGTAATGCTTTTTTTTTGCTGTTTAATACAGTTTATAACATTATCAAGATAAAAGTAAATTATAACATTATTAAGATAAAATGAAGTAAATAAATAGATTAATAAATTTAGGGGGTAAACAGATTCTATCTGTTGACCAGCCTCGCCTCCCTTCTTCATTTATTAGGTTGGCACAGATGTATTTTTAATACATTGTTGTTTGTTATTTTGTTAGTTTTGCTTTTTTTATTTTTGAAACTTTTTCCACAATGATTAATACTATTAAACTTGAAAACAACCGTGACCAAGTTGTCTAAAAAAAAATACTCGCTTGTGGTCCACATTCATTTCCTGGAAAGGCTTGAGTATAGTTCATTTTTTCATGCAAATGGTTTTTAAGTTAATGTTTTCATTCAATTTTTTTATTCAAATTGTTTTGCAATAAAAAGTTAAAGAAAAAAAATTGGTCTTCAATTTTTTCTTTTCTTTTAATTTTTTATATTTCCTTAAGTTCAAGTATGTGCTTAAATTATTTTTTTAGAAAAAAAATTCTTTAGAATAATTTATTTTGCAAAATGATTTATTTTTAATTATTTTTCAATTTAATTTTTGGTTTAACGTTTGCAATAATCGCTTGTTTGATGTTTGCAATAGATTGTTTTTACTTTTAAATTTTTTTTCAAGAAACAAGTATTAACTATTCAAAATGTTTATGAACTAAATAAAACTTTCTTCCTCGCTTGCACTATACAAACTATTATGGACGCTGCTGCAACTAAATTTATAACTATTGAGCGTCAAAATTCTTTTAAATTTTTACAATTTTTTTAAATTTCAAATTTCAATTGCTAAATTATTTGAATAAGAGAATTTTAGAAGACTAAAGTTAGGGATGGCAATCCCGGGATCCCGTACAAATTGTTTATCCCAAAATCCTGGGATTAATCTTAATAATTTCCTGGGATTTTGGGATTGTCATAAAAAAAAGTAAAAGTTTAAGCTTAAATCATAAAATGTAATCATAGGCTTTGGAGTAGTAGCTGTTTGGTTTTGTAGCTGTTTATTCTTTTTGCAATATTTTCTTTTTATTCTGTCTCTTTCTGTATTTTATTGAAAATACAAACTAGAAAAAATATTATTGCTTTTCTGCAAAATATGTATAATTAAGAATATAAAAAATGTATATATAGTATTTTATTAAAAATAATATATTATTAAAAATAAAATATAATTTTAGCGCTTGCTGATGGAAAGATCAAAATAGGAGGAATACCTTAGTTTTGTTTTGTTTTTATTTTATTTTTTAATTCATTCTAATTCCAATGTGTGCCTGGTTTTAATTCCATTTTTGAGTCCACTCAATTTAATTACAAATGTGTGCCTGATATACAAAAGTTTTTTCAACATTGGCTTAATTAACTAAGTTATCAAAATACAGAAGGTTTATAAAATTACAAATATTTACTTAATGTTCGTTTAATTAATGAAGTTATCCAAATACATAAGGTTTATTAAATAAACTTTAGTTATCATTATTTAAAGTAGAAATTGTTTTCTGAAGAGGAAGATTATATTTGAGATTCAATTGGTTCATTCTTAATTAATGAAACATTTGAAGTTAAAATTAGGCATCAAGTTATTGGACGCGTTATAACAAAAGTTAGGAGACAAAAATGATCCTTGATCAACCAGCAGGTTAGTTTTAACACTGTTCTGGCCTGGAGTAAATTTTTCACGCTGAAGCCAGTTCTTTGTCACGTAGTGTTCCTATGTTGCCTGGCTGTTCCGCAAACATAAAAGGCACATGTATTTTGTGAAGTCACTCTGCATGCCTAACAGTAAACCAATTACTTTAAGATTGCTGCATATTTTCCATTTGTACTGAGCATACTTAATTGTATTCGGCAGTATAACCATGTTTTCGTAGGATTCCTTCAAGTGTACTGAGTATGCAACTGGAATGCTTGGATATGTATTTACATTATGCAATAGCACAGCCTTTAGACTATGTTTACTAGAATCAATAAACAGGCACCAATTATCACGGTTATATTCAACATCAAAAAGTGAAAACAGTTTTTCAAGATCTGAACAAAAGCACAGCTGATTAACTGTCTGAAAACAGCCTGATATTTCAGAACTTCGGTTATGAAAGGATGTAATTTGCACATCACCAGCAACCAAATTCCATTGTTTAAGTTTTGATGCTAACAATACTGCCTTGTCTTTGGACAGATATAAGTTCCTTACCAAATCATTTAAATCTTGCTGATTGAGTAAATGAAGCACAGACATACATTCTTTAGGCTGGTATTCAGTATCAGAGAAAGGATTTTCTTGTTCTGATTCTTTTTTTTCTGAAGGTGTTATAATTTGCTTGCCTGTTGGTGGCATGGGAACTGGCAACTCAAAACTATGTGGAACTGGTTTTGTAGCAGATGCTACAGTGAGATAATCTGTTTTGTTTCTTATTTTAAAGCTCAGTCCAGTAATTTTGCTCATGCAAAAATAGCAGTCATTTACATAATTTTGTTGTTTACGCCATACCATAGGCACACCAAATGTCAGATTCTTTTTTCTACCATTTAACCACAATGCCAACATTAAAAGAATATTTATTATAGCAATTATGCGTTTTTTTATCCTGATCACCAATGGGGCATCCTAAATAATGAAAATATGTGGTCTTTATTAAAGGTGTCATTGTTTTGTGATGTCCTAAAGGAGTAAAAAGTCCACAAATAGAGCAGAACAAGTCTGGGTCATTTACATATCCTCTAGAGCTCATGGTGAATTAATATATAACAATGATAACAAACTAATAACAATTGCTTGTTTACTTTGAGATGATTCAAGTTATTTCTTTGTAGATTTTGAAACTTTTTTCAAAGACTTCTAAGCTTCTACCAATTCAAGTGCACAAAAGATATTTTTAATTGCTATATTTATTCTATACCAAACATTGTTTGAAATAGATTAGTGCAATAAATACAGTGTATACACAATTAATACAAATAATATAAAATTTAACACTAATGACATATCAGGGCCTATTCTAGGAAAAAATTTGGGCAGCAATACCCTCTCGTTCTGGTGAACTTTAGCAGAAAATCAATATATCCTGTAAATACGTAAAAAAACAAGAAAAAAAGAAGGTCCTCTGATTTTCACTTTAGGCAGGGCTATCGAAAACAGTCTAGGATAGCCCCTGCGTGTATTCATTTATATTGCATATGTATGCAACATCATAATTGTTTTTTTTTTAACATTGTATTTTTGGTTGGTTGTATTTTTCCCTCCAACCATGAAATTAAGAATCTATTTGATTTATAAGCTTTAGTTTAGATTAAAGATAATTAGGTAATGAATATACTCATCAGATACAGGGAAACTGTATATCTATAAAATGCAGTGGTCATTTTCTAGATTTTGTATTATTAAAAATGTGTTTAAATGTGAAAAAAAGTGGTATAGATGTCAGAGAAACCAGACCTGACAGAAAAAAACTGATGGTATTTTTGAAATCAGCACCTAAAAATTAGAAAAGAACACTACCTGGCTTCTGAGACTTTTTTGTTGTTGACCATCATCCTTCAGAATTAGGGTCAGCATTGCCAACCTAACTGCCAACCTGATATTGTCTGAGGCTGGTAATTATTTTTCAATTTCAGAATTTTAAAACTTAACTTTATTTACTATTTCAAATCAATTAAAATTGCAAAATGAACTTTTACATAAATTTAAAATAAATTAATAATCAAATTAAAAACAATAAACTAACATTTTATTTTAAGTCTGAATAAAATTATTAAACGGATCCTTAAGTGCCATGACAAGTTGTGTGCATATCATAGATAAACAGAAGATAAGTTAAAAATTAATTAAACTTTCCAAAACAAATTATTGAATGAAATATTAACAAAAACATTTGTTGTTTTGCCATTATACTTCTGGTTAAGAGCCTAATTTTAGACTCTCAAATATGCATAGTTTTTTCTGTTAAAAAAACAACTGGTTTCAATAATGTTTTCGCTCACTGCAGAGTTTTTTTAAACTCAGTTCAGTTTTACACAATCAGATTGGGTTTTCTCCTTCATTTATAGTATGCAGTGGTTATAAAGGTCTCCTTCATGTTTAATCTTCAGCGGCTGTAGCATATTTTTGTTTTTTGTTCAATGTATTGTTAAGTGTTTGAATTAGAATAAACTAGCATAATACAAATAGTTATTAAGTGAAGCAAACTTTAAAATACACGAGATGAATATTTGTCTTAGAAAATAAGTAATCAATTTTTTATATACAACACTATGTACATTATAATCCAACATTAAATTTTGAAAGATTTAAAAATCTTTACATTTTAATAAATTCAGGAAACCGTTTTAAAAATGATCTTATTCCTATTTTTAACTTATCTTTATAATATTTTATATTTCTAATTCAAGAAACTTTTTAAAATGATTAATATATATTTTTCAGACATATGTAAAATTGATATTAAAAACTTGAAAATTATATTTTCGTTTAACCACCAAAAGGGAAACCCCTGCAATTTAAACTTGATTTACGTTTTTTGAAAGAAACTTTCTTTATTGATGCCAAATAGAAGCATATTAATCAGGCTGGATTTAAAATAAAAAAAATAGTCAAAGAACCGAAACTTTTCTTTGCAAGAAACAAAATGGCGTTAAAAATTAAGAAGTTTTTTTGTTAATATCTCATTCAATAATTTGTTTTGGAAAGTTCAATTAACTTTTAATTTATTTTCTAATGTTTATCTATATGAACACAACTTGTCTAATAGTAAAAAAAGTAAAATAATTGTTTTATTTAGATAAAATGGCAAAACGAATTTTCTATTTTAATTCCAAATATGATCCTTTTTTTTAAATTGCAAACAAAACAATTAAATTGAAAACAAAAAAACAAATAAAATAATTATAAATAAAATCTATAAATATTTAAATATAAATAATTAAAGTATTAGGAAAACTTTAATGAATAAAAATAATTTAAAAATCAGGAAAAGTTTTCCCAATTATATTTTAATTACATTTAGATTATATTCGTTAATTATTCGGAAACTGTTGATGTTTAAAAAATCTTTGGCGTTTGTTTTTCTGTCCATATTTTATGCTAAAAACTTGTAAGTTGTTTGATTTGTCAAATTTTGTGCCTCCCTGATACCAAGTTAAAACTATTTTAGGTAATGTGATTTGAAACAAAAGCTGTTTTAAACTTAAATTTAGTTGTTGCCAAGCATACTGTTATGTGAGTTGCGCTGACCTCTACTACTAACAAAACGATATATCTATAACTAGCAAAAATAAATTTAGTTATGACAATATTTAATTTTAATTATGACAATAAGTAATGATTAAAATGAATAATTTTAAATAACTGAATTTTTGGTATAAAGTTAATTTAATGCAATATTTTAAAAACAAAGATAAAAACCAGGAAGTGTTGAAAATTTTGTTTTGCCTTAACATCTTTTTGCTTTTAAACTTTTTAATTTAATGACCAGGTAGCAATTAAAGTAGCATGTCATTAACAATAAAACTATTTTTAATGCTTTTTCAAAATTTAAATGATTTCATGAAGTTTTAGTACATGCATTTTCCAAATAACATCCTAATTATTTGTCAAAACTTGTTTTTAATAACTCTTTTTAAAGTTTTTTTTTGTGGGATCAAAATACCGGCTGGTCAGCGATCATTGACCGTTGACCAGTCATTTTTTTATTTCTATTTTTATTTATACATATTTAAAATTATTATTTTATAAAAGTATACTTTTTATATATATATATATTTTTAATTTATTTATTATATATTTTATTTCATTTTTATTTTTATCTATTTACAAAAACGATTAATTGAAGTAATATAACTATATTTAAACCTTGCTGTAACCCTAATCCTAAGCCTGACCTTAATGCTGACCCTAACCAAACCCTCACTCAATGTAACAGCACTCCCTTGCGAGTCAGGCTATTTGATAGTTAATGTATGTACTTTTTGCTCTCTATAAAAGTTGTTTACAAGGACATTTTTTTTTTTTTACAAAAAAACGATGCTTGGGGACAAAAAATTAATGGGTACACAAAAATGTTCCTTATAATGCTAATCTCTCCGTAAGTATTTTTTTTGTAAAATCTGTCCCTGTAAGTTATACTATAGATGTGTATGCATATGTATACATATATACATGTACACACACATAGACACTCATATAAATAAATAAATAAATATATATATATATATATATATATATATATATATATATATATATATATATATATATATATATATATATATGTATACATGTATATATATACACATAGTATAACTTACAGTTACATAACTTACCTGTAAGTATTTCTGTCCCTGTAAGTTGTACTATAGATGTGTATACATATATATACATGTATACATATATATATAAATGTGTGTGTGTGTGTGTATATATATATGTATATATATATATATATATATATATATATATATATATATATATATATATATATATATATATATATATATATATATGTATATGTATATGTATATGTATATATATATTAAAATTTAAAAATGATTTTAAATGATAAATGATGAAATTTTTAAAGTTACATTTAGGTTTTAATCTTAAATTGTAAAGAACACTGAATTTTTTTTAATGCAATTTGATATCTGTCTATATTATTTGGTCTAGCTTATAAACTAACAAAAAAGTTTTTTTATGTGTAATATATAAACAACTTGAAACTTTTAATTAGAGTAACTAGAAATAAACAATGTCACAAGTTTGACAATAAGAGTCGCATATGTTTATTCAGTTGCATATATCTATTATATTGTTAGACACTAGCACTCTATTACTAAAGCTTTTGAAAGACATTTTTTATTTCTTTTTTCAAACATTTTGATTTTTCACTTTTTTTGTTTTTTTGTCAATTTTTTGTTTATTGTTTCAAACTTTTTTAATTAAAAACTTTGTGAAATTTAAGTTTTAAAACATTATTGAAATTTGATATTAATTTTAAATTTAAAATAAATATTGAGATTGTTTTACTTATTGTGTTTTAGTAGAACCTAATGATCTAAAGAAAGTTAAAAAAGTCAACAAAAAGAAGCAAAAGGACAGGTATGATATATAAAAGTGCTTCCAAACTGGACTTGCATAACTAGCAGTAATCAACATATGTTAGATAATTTGCCTAATGATGTTCCAGTGTTAAAGCAGTTTCATTAGGTTCATAAAATTTGTTATTATCAATGGAGAAACTGTTTTTATTTTCAAATTGTCAAAACTTATTAATTGATGTTTGAATAAATAATTTTTCGAATATTAAAATCAAAGAAAAATATATACAATCAAAGAAAAATATTTTTTAGTACTTTTTCAGAATATATACAAAGAAAAAAATTTTTTAAAGATGAATTATTACAGATGTTGAGTGAATTTTTAAAGTGCTTTAATGATTATGCGTACTTAAAAATTTTTTTTTTTGAGTAATGTAATTTTATTTTGCAATATAACTTTAAATTGCATTTAGAGTTATATTGTAGTCTATTATTATACATTTCATTATATTTTTGATTTAGTAAAAAACTTGTTAATAAAGCAAGAAAGTTGCTGGAACATGATAATGAAGGTTTGATGGTTTTTTCAAAAATTAGTAATCTATGTACTATGACATACTCTTTTAAAGATAATTTGCGTTTAGTAAATTTCAAATCTTTTTGTTAAATATACCTTTCTGAAAAACTATTTAATTGATGTTAAAAATTTTATATTTTAATAAAAACCAGCCACTTAAGTGTTTTTAATTTTAGCTGTAAAGCTTTTGTTTACACTTTGTTATATAAATTTTTTATTACTATTATTATTTTATTAAATTTTAGCTATAAATGAAATAGTTGATTTCACAAAAACTGATGTAACAAAAGTAAAAAAAAAGGTATTTTAATGTCTCATTTTATTTTAATTTTATTAAATTCATCTTTCCAAGACTCCCGAGGGAACCACTACAGTTGAAGAGGTTATTAATTTGTTTTTTTTAAGGCTCCAGAGGGGACCACTAGAGTTGAGGAGGTTATTATTTTGTTTTTTTTTAAGGTTCCTGGGGGGACCACTACAGTTGAGGAGGTTACTAATTTGTTTTTTAAGGCTCCCGAGGGGACTACTACAGTTAGGGAGGTTATTAATTTATTTTTTTATATTTTATTTTATTTGTAACTCTCTCTTAACCTTGAACTTAAAAACATGAACCTTGTTAAACATGTTTGCTGCATTTTAATGGTAATTAAATGAATTTAGGTAGTTTAATCATATTTTAATAAAGTTATGCAATTTAATATTCGAGTAGACTCTAATAGATATTTATGTACTTTGATAGAGATATCAAGGAAGTTAAGTTGGAAGTAAAAAGTTAAGTTAAGGGGAAAAAAAAACAAATAATTTCTGCACTTTGCAATTGTTTCATTTATTCTTTTAATATATTGTGATTATATAAAGTATTCTAATATATTTAGTAACTAATGGAGCTAAAATATAAAACTAGAACTAGAACTAAATATAAAATATAATATAATAAAAATATAGACTAATATTATAACTAATAGGATTTTTAGTTTACAACTTTACAAAAAAATGTAAGAAAAACAAGAGCTTTAGTCTTAAGTAAAGTAAAATATTTATACACACGTTTAATAGTGTTTAATTGTTAGCATAAAGTACTAAGAATCCCACTGTGTCTCTGGTAGAACCATGTTCCACTGTGTCCCTGGTAGAATCATGCTCAACTTGTTTATTTGAGAGGCAGTCTTGCTTGTATTTTAGAATTATAGTGTTGAAAGTATTTTTTTTGTTTAAAAATTTTACATAGAAAATAAATAGTATTTATGTTGACTTTATAGCTTGGAAAAAGGGAGAAAAAGTTAAAGAAAAAGTGAGTTGGAAAAAAGCTATTGCATTTGTCAAGTTTTTTTAATTATAAATATAATTGGTTATGCAATTGAAATGTAAAAATCGGTAACATTGAATCTTGATGATAAAATTTAATTTTAAGATATGATGGGAAGGAGGCAACAATTTTTGATTCAGATAGTGAAAATGATTTTGATGAAGAAGCAGGTACGTTTTTAGTTTCTTTAAAATAATTTTTTTTTTTGGTTTTAAATGTTTTTATACAAATTAATATTAAAATGATTTATTGACAAGTACAAAAAAATAGTTATAATATTATACATGCAAAAACAGCATTTTTTGTTATTTGATATCTTATTATTTTTCTTGGTTTCTACCATTCTAAAGTATTTTTATTGAAGGCTTTTTTATGCAAGCCCTTTCTAAATTTCATTATGTATTTTCAAGGGCATTATTGTGGAATATCTGTACTTTAAATATCAATATATTAAATGTTTTTTACATTATATTTCAGTTATTGCGACAAATATATAACTGTATATATATACATACACAAAAAAGGCACAACCATCCAGTATTGATAATGGAGATCTGTTTTTTATATTGTGTATAGATTTATTAAAAATAACACATATGAACATGTATGAAAAATTTAATAAAGAATTTATATATAATTTATTATATAATTTAATAGAATGGAGAATTATTTTTTATGTAGTTCATAGATTTATTAAAAATAACACGTATGAACACGTATGAAAAAAAAAAATAAGTCACAGTAAATAAAGTAATAAAGTAAGTAAAAAAATCACAGTATAAAACATGTTTTAGTAATTTGTAAAGGCTTTAAAAACTTTTAGATTGGCCTCTAATTAAAACCACTAGGTAACAAGAGGCTAATGGGTCATCCATAAATTACATTTTTGACCCTTCCTCTTCTCCCTTGTCCCAACATCATAACACTTTAGTAACAAGTCATGTATAAGTTGTCACAAAACCACTAACCCCTCTCCCCCACCCCCAGAGTGAGATGTAATGAACAATATTTAGGCATTGTTTTATGGCACTATGCTTTTATTGTCTTTTATCAGATCTCCTTGTGAGGTTGACTGTTTAGAAACTTCTGCTTTAATTTTCTCTTCAGTTTTTGATAGGGTTTAAATTTGTGAATTGTTCGGCCTTGTGGTGAGAACATTATTACCATTTTCATAGAGCCATATTCTGACAATTTTTATCTGATAGCAAATTGCCCCTGTTGTGCAAGAAAATATCAAATATTAGAGTATTAATTCTTAGTTTTCCGTAGGATTTCCCTAAAATGATGCTAACTGATGGCTTAATGGGCTGAGTGATATTGTAAACAGTTGGCATAGACATTTTCAAACTTGCAGCAATCATTTCTTTAAACTTACCATCTTCCATTGAAAGTTGCACTTTTAATGGCTACAACTAGTGGTCAACCGAAATCCTGTAAATTGGAATCGGTTTTGGCCAAAATTTCAATTTGAACTGATATTGAAATTTCGGTTTCAGTACTTTTATAAATTTAGTAAAAACCAAAATTTCGGTTGAAAAATATACAAAAAACAGATATTTATCTGATTAAAAAAAGCAGTTATTAAAATTTTCACAAAATATTTTAAAATTTTCACAAAATATTTTAAGAAATTTCACAAAAATATTGGGAATTTTCACAAAATACCTCGAAAAAATATTATTTTGCAGAGAAAATCTGCCAGTTCTTAAATTTTGCTATTAATTTATATTGTCGAATTATGTATTAAATCTGAATTTGGGATACACATGTAATTATTTTAACATAATACGAGTATAAAAAAACAAAAAATTAAAAATTTAAAAAATTTAAACATTTAAAAAATTTTTTTTGTAATAAAATAAATTTTGACTAGCCGAAATTTAGGTATTGGTTTTGGTAAAATATTTGCCGAAATTTCAGTTTTGGCACCAAATTTTAGTACCCGAAATTTCGGTATTCTTTTGGTTTCCCCTTTTCTATTTCGGTCAATCACTAGCTACAACATCACTTGCCACATTTAACAAGTAATGTTGTACCCATACTCTAAGATAATAATGATTGAATAACTGATTTAAATTTGATAAAAAAGATTTTAACACATGATTTTATTAATGAATATTTATGAGAATAAATGAGTATGAGAGCGGAGAAAAGCTCTCCTAAAACAAACTTGGGGAGCTGTGCGAGCTGCTCCTCATTTAAATTGACGTTCTTTTTTAATTCTAGTTTTTTTTTTTGCAACAACTGTGCCTTTAAAAAAACATTTCAGAATATTATGCAATTATTTTTTTTTAAATGACATTGTGTTTTTTATTTTATTTAAAATGATAATTATACTTTTATGAGAAAAAATTATACTTTTGCTAAAGGTAAATAGCTCTCATTTTATAAAAAAAATTATTATTTGAAGTTTTTTTTTAGACAATTATCAAAAAAATACACTTTTTTTATTTTTAGGTTAAAAAAGGTCATTTTTTTGCAAAAAAACTCTAAAATAATAATTTTTTTATAAAATAAATATTATTTATAAAATTTTTATATAAATTTGCTTCTTTTGAGGCCCAACATGACATACTTTTAAAAAACTTTTTTTTATATAATAATAGGGACCTGGTAAATGTTCAAGGGTCTGGTGCTCCCCCTAAATCCAATAAAAATTTGAAAAAATTTAATAAAGTTGCTTGTGAGAACCAATAGAAGGTTTTAAGAGTATGAACTGATCTTTTTTAGAATATAGGGGGCAGATGTAACACCCTAACATACATACATACATACATACATACATACATACATACATACATACATACATACATACATAATGCTAAATTAACTGAGGGTTTGGTTTGGGCAAGCGAAATAAACCTTCATATCATTAAAAAAAAAAAAACTTTGTTCATATATATATATATATATATATATATATATATATATATATATATATATATATATATATATATATATATATATATATCAAAGCTCGAATTAAGTGATTGCAAATTGCAATATTTGGAGATATTTGTGGTCATTAAATTACCAGTTTATTAAAAACTGTGAACACTGTGTTTTAATGAAACAATCAATTTAAAATATTGCAAAAACTAATGAAAAAAACAAACAATAAATTTACTACTGGCAATAGAATAAAAACTAACACTAATGTTTTTTTAAACACCAGGTAATTTAAGGATTATTAAAAAAATAAGAAAAGAAAAAATAATAATTACCAAAGGTCTGTAAAATCTGTGCTGTAATTTAAAAATCAACCAATAAAAAATATTGATATATAATAGGGTTGTTAACCGGAGGATTTCGTGCAATTCCGGAAAAACAACATTCTTTTGTAAGGAGATTGAGAACACGGAATTACATTTTTTCACACCGAATGTTTAAAATCGCCGATGTTCATTTCGCAAAAGCCACTTCCGAAATTTAGCATTTCGCAAGTTGACATATGAAACAAAACTATTTTGCAACATACGAAAGTAGCGGTTTCGGAAGTTGCACTTGCGAAACAAAAATTTTCGCCAAACGACGTTTTGAAGTCTATAAAGAAAATTTGTTTGCCAGACTGATTTTAATTGTAAAAATTAACATCTTTAAATCCCAAAATGTTTATAATGAATTTTTATTTTCAGTATAATAACTATTAAATTTTTATCGTTTTATTTTTAGAAATATTAATAAAAAATAAAATTTCTTTCGAAACGAAAGTATTTTGGATCACAAAATACGAAAGAATTCTTAACGGAAATAAACTTACGAAACGTGCCATAATAAATATATACAACGATGTTTTTTGAACTCATTACGTATATTAAAAATATGAATGATGGGTAGGAATATACATGTTTTTTTTTTTTAAGCATATGAAATTTTTGAAACAGGTTTGAATATGCTTAAGCAAATAGTAAAAAGAGGCTCAAAAATATGCTTTAGCTTAAGCATATTTCTGATAAAATATACCTATTTCAATAATTTCTAAAAGTGTGCACGTTACTAAAGTTCTAGCAGATTTTAAAGCTATGTAGAGTCCTGTTTGAATACGCTTTTCGAAGTATAGATCTTAGAAAATATTGTTTTTTAATTTTAATAAGATATAAATTTGAGTATAAGATTGTATAGTTCAATCATTTAGATACGTGATAATTTGCCGCAGAGATCCGGGTTCGCATCCCGCAGCCATTGTAACTTTTGTTCATCAAACTCTTTTTACTTAAGATAGCATTTTTTGACCTCCATGTTCTATATTACAGATCTTTCGTCACCTTCACAATAGTGACAACCTCTCTTCTGTTAGTTATTCTTTTAAGATTGAGTTCATTGTGCTTAATTCAACACGTTTCCCTTGCTTTACTAAGTTCTACTTAAATTATGATGAAATGTACGTAAAACAACTTTTTCAAATAATATAAATCATTTTGCTTTAAATCTTTTGCTTTTTGTACTAGACATCTGTCCTAAATACTTTGTAATAATTTCTAGCTAACTCTGAGTCTAATATAAGCATTTCTGAATATAATTTCCCTGAGGCTCCTACAGCCTATTGTGTTCCATTAAAAGTAACTAGTTTTTGAGTCCAGATATTAATTATAAGCATCTAAAGGTTCACATTACTATTCATTTTCCTGATATATAGAATCCTATTTGCATACGTATCTCTTTCTGTAAATTCTGTTTTATATAGTTTCTTAATTATATAATAAATAAATATTACTATTCACTTAGTTGAATGAACGTATAGCTCATTCAGTTAAGACATTTGGCCGCGTAGACCCAGGTTCACATCCCGCTGTTTCACATATATTTCTCTTTTTACTCTTTCTGATATCATTTACCTTTAGAGAGATCTCTCGTTCTTTATAATAAAGTATTTAGTTGTTTATCACACATCCTCTTTATACTTTTTAAAAAGAAAGGCATACTGTTTATCTGTTCATTGAGAGTCCAACTTAACGGGATTTTACTGTATATATTTGTATATATATATATATATATATATATATATATATATATATATATATATATATATATATATATATATATATATAAATATATATATATATATATATATATGTATATATATATATATATATATATATATATATATATATATATATATTTATATATATGTATATATATATATATTTTTATATATATATATTTATATATATGTATATATATATATATATTTATATATATGTATGTATATATATATATTTATATATATATATATTTATATATATATATATTTATATATATGTATGTATATATATATATATATATATATATATATATATATATATATATATATATATATATATATATATATATATATATATATATAAATATATATATATATATATAAATATATACATATATATACAGTAAAATCCCGTTAATGTATATATATATATATATATATATATATATATATATATATATATATATATATATATATATATATATATATATATATATATTAGGTATATTTGTATAAACATTTGAAGAATCATTTGACAACATTTTTTTATAATTTTATTATTTATTATTTAAACTGTTAACAGTTAATATCTTAAATATATCGTAACATAAAATCTTTTGCGTCTTTTTCGTAACTACACATTCCGGAATTTTTTTTCCGTAAGGAACTATTTCGTAAGTATTCTTACGAAATGATTTGTTTCGCAAGTTTTCTTTCGCAATGCTTTATTACGGAATTTTATTTACTATTTATATTTTCGTATTGCGCGTTACAGAATGTGCATTTTTGCATGTGCAACTTCTGCAATAACAATTCTATTACGGTAGATAAAGATGCGAAATTTTCGCAAGTTTTGTTTTTCGGCGAACAACCCTAATATATAAGCTAAAGCTATTTGCGTATTGTATGAAATTTGAAATCTATTTTTGTTTAGGAATTATTTATTTAAAAATTTATGTTTTAAATTAGAAATTAATTAATTGATAATAAAAAGATATATTTAAAAATTTTTTAAATAACTAATTAGAATTTTTTTGTTTTGTTTTAAAATAAACATAAAAAGTTTAAATTAGTTTTTATATTTTTTTAAACTCCTCTGTCTTTAATTTTGTATATATATTTACAAAAGAATTATGAGCATTTAATTTATAAAAAAATATTGAATAATATTTAAATACAATATAAAAGTGTTTTATATCTTATTTTGCGATTTCTTTTATTTAAAAAATTTGATCAAGATAACGCAATATATATATATATATATATATATATATATATATATATATATATATATATATATATATATATATATATATATATATATATATATATATATATATATATATACTCTTGCATGGTAGTTAAAAAGAGTTTCCCATAAACTGTAGTTTTAAAGAGCGCGTTAATAAACCAGACCAGAAAAAGTTTAAAAAGTTAAGTTTTTTTTTTTTAAATGATAGACTGCCTGCCCAAACCAAACCCTCAGTCGATGTAGCAGCACTCCCTTGCGAGTCAGGCTATTTGTCAGTCGTTGTAGCAGCACTCCCTTGCGAGTCAGGCTATTTGTCAGTCGATGCAGCAGCACTCCGTTGCGAGTCAGGCTACTTGTCAGTCGATGTAGCAGCACTCCGTTGAGAGTCAGGCTATAAGATAGTCGATGTAGCAACATTTACGCATGTTTTAAAATAAAACAAAAACACCACTAATAAAAAAAAACTTTCTAGTCGTTATAATTGCGGTTTTTTAAAAAAATTTTAAAAAACAATAAAATTTAATGTACTTCCGCATTAATTTAATTGCTTTGACATTTCGACGGCAATCAAATAAGCTTAAGAGACGAGGTAATTAAAATTGTAGTCGAAAGAGACTTTTTTTACATTAAAACGCTCTTTCGACTACACTATAAGGATATATATATATATATATATATATATATATATATATATATATATATATATATATATATATATATATATATATATATCCTGATTACTAAAAGTACAATTAATTGCAACACAAGTCGGCATTATAAATTTTGATTATAAGTTTACTGTTCAATATTTTATAACCATCAAATAAAAAACATGAAGTTTGTATATTTTGGCCCGTTTTATACAACTTATATTTAACAAAAATACGGACAAATTATTATCAAGTAACGCAATAATTAACACATTAATTAAAGGCATTAATTCATGATAGATGGTAATTTAAATTGTTAAAATGTCATAACGCGCATTAAAAAACATTATGTTTGGTATTTCCAAATTTGTGTCGTAATTAGCATTTGTCTCTTAACATGAAAAATTAAAAATTTTTAAAAACACATACAAATTAACAAATACAAATTTTCAAGCAATTTTCTCTTCCAACTCTCATTTATTCAAAGAAAGTTTACTATTAAACTTTTATTTCTCTCATCTAAAAAAAGAATGAGTGACGCAAAATATATATATATTCTATACAACTCTTATTCATTCAAAGTTTAATTGCGCGAAACTTTTCTTTCTCTTTTGTTCTACTCTTTTATAAAAAGAGCGCCTGATGAAGTAAAAACTTTTCTTTTTTAACATATAATTATAGTTTGAGATAAAATTAAATTAGAAATAAATCAACAATGAGCAAAGCAACGAACAGATTAATCTGGAACTATTTTGATATTTATGAAAATAATCAACATAAACAACATTACCAACAACAATTATCAAATAAACAACACAATCTCGCATAATTTTAAGGGCATTTTATTTTTATTGCTTAGTCGTTCTAAATAATAAGTAAATTTAGTTCAAGTTAATAATTCAATATTTACATTTGCAATATAATAAAGAAATGGTGTTTAATACTGAACTTTTTATTTAGTTATTTATTTTTTTACCTACATTTGTTATAAAAAACTTGAGAACCCCCGTCGTTAAAATAATTTGTTTTAAATATATTTCGACGTGATTATTTAAACTAATTTTTTTCGTTTGACTTTCCGAACTTCTTGCAAAGCAAATTGAAACAAAATATCGTCTAACCAAATAAAAAAGCTGTTACTAATTTTATACGGGTAATTAATGTAAAACAATTTTTGAGATAATAAATATTCATAATTTATAAACATTAAATATACGGCGCAATAACAATTTATAGCAACGAACCAGCATAAAATATTTGAATTTTTTAATATCTTTTTAAATGTTAAAAATAGAAAAAAAACAACTAAACAAATCAAAAAAATTTCGAATTAAAAAAAAAAAAAATATTTCTAGAGTTTCATTTGTTAAAAGTCTACCGTGACGTCAAACACTAAAACTTTTATGAATTAAACGCGCTTCAAAGGAATTGCCAAAGTCTGTAGATTGCGAGGCATAATTTGAAGACTCAGAGTGGTTGAAAAAAATGGAGAAGACGAGCTTGTTTCTCCATCAGTTGGTTCATCAGGAAGATTCCTGATGTTTTATATCTTCTTTTTCATTAAATATATTTTCTATGAAAATTAATACTTTTGATGCAGCTTGTTTTTAAAACCAGTGTTTATATATTTTCTTAATATTGTTTTTTTTTTTTTTTTTTTTTTTTTTTTTTGTAGAAAAAGAAGAATTATCAGATGATAATGATTCATTAACAAATGATGATGGGTAACTGTTTTATTTATTGCACTACAATTTACTATTAATAAAATATATTTAATATTTGTATTTAGCATTTTTTAAATTTATTTTTATCGTCTTTATAATCTTAAACCAACAACATGTTGCAGGTAAGGCTCTATACCCATGGTAAAAGCAATTTTACTAGAAGAAGAATAACTCTGCTATAAACCCCCCCTAATTTTTAAGATATTTAGTTGTGGATAATTGAAAGAAGAGATTGTTAGCCTTAGATCGTAATCCTCTGACTCGTAATATCACAGCAAAAATACTCTAATGATTTGTAAAAGTTTATTTTAGGAAGAACATCTGGTTGTAAAAAAATGCTTTAACTTTTCCATAATGTCATATTCAAAAATGATTATGGCATGATGTGCAAATTATGTTAGTGTATTCTACGAAAATATCTACGAAATATCTGGAAAATAAAAAGTCATATCACATGCAACAGAAAAATGTAATTTATTACCTTAAATGTTTGGCATGCAAAAAACAAGCCACATATACTGGCTAAACTAACAATTTAAGATTACGAATAAATGGACATATTTCTAGTTGCAGAACTGGCCTATCAACTAATAGATTTGAAAACCATGTCAACGTTCCCACCAAAATGTAATTGAACTTTTTTTTTCAACTTTTTGTTTTCCTTGAGCTTAACAATAAAAGTTTTTTCTTATCATACAAAAAGCATCTGCACAAACAAAAACATGATACTTTTAATTGATACTTTCTGTGTATTATTAGAATTTAATTCATCAAAATAGTTATTCATAGCAACAATATGTAATTAAATTTATTTTGTATACAAAAATCTTTTTGTATACAAGATAAATTTAAGTTTATTTACAAGTGTTGGTTTAAATAAATAGATTAGAAATAAATTAAACAAATTATTTTAAATAAGGGCTCTATATGTTTTAGAGGAATTAAAGATGACAATCAAGATTGGTTGACGCTAAAAGATAAAAAACTTGATGATTCTATTCAAGATGAAAGTGATGAAGAACTGGTAATACGTTTGACTTTTTAAATCATTTTATTAAACGGTGATAATATAATATTATAAATATATAAGTTGTAAATTAATAAATTATATATTATAAATAATAAACTTGAGTTTATTTGTTTTTTTCTTATCTAAAACTTAAATTACTTTTTTGATTGACATTCATAGCATTTACTTTTAAAAGACTTGAAATTAAAAGGTGTAATTGAAAAAAGTATATTTGATCCCTTTCTTGATTTAGTTTCTATATATAATTTCTATATCTGTTTTGTTGGATACTAAGCCAATAATTTTTTTAGATCCCATTTTAAGAGTAAAAACAATGTACATTAAATTTATGAATGTAAATAAAAGGCTTCAAACAGTCGGTTTGTATTTGTGTGTACAAATTTTTTGTAAATTTTTGAGTTTAAACAAAAAAAATAGTGTTGTAATTGTCATATTCATAATAAATCTTAATAAAACAGGTTTTCAAAAATAAAACAGTGACAGTTCAGATAAAAATAATACTGTTCAAGCTTTTCTTTTAAATATTTGTGTGATTTTTAGTGTCTATATGAGTATTTTAATTAGTTTGTTATTGAATTTTTAGTGAGTTCTTTATGTTTTGACATTATAACTTATGTTGATTATACAATATTTCATGTAAATAAATTATATGTAATATTTTCATAATAGTATTTTCAGTGTTTGTTTTATGAGCTACCCTAGTGTACTTAGATTATCAGAAATTCAATAGTAGTATAAACGGATATTGGATAACAGTTTTATTTTGTATTAACAATATTAAAAGATTCAAATAGTATTTTAATATTTCAGTTGCTTTTTTTTTTAACTTAATTTTAAAACAATACTTTTTTTCTTTAATAACTTTTCTTAGTTAATTAATGATGAAATTACTTTACTTACAATTATGCCTAAATGTGCTTATATACATCTGATTGTTGTAGTTAAATTATAAATATATTTGACAAAATAAAATAAACTAAATTAAATTTCTTTGTCACTAAGATAAATTTCTTTGTCATTTATCATTTATCATTAAACTCTTACTCCATTTTTATTATTTAGTTTATTTGCTATTAAATAATTAAATATTTCTGCCTATGAGCTGCATCAGTTGCAGTTTGTTTCACTATTTTTACTTAAAATAATCCTTTGTTTTTTAAGAAACTTGGTGAGAGTTGTACTTTAAGGAATGGATTAGAGTTGTAGAAACAGTTTTACTTTTACTATTGACTAATACATGACTCAGCAACTTAACATTTGGGAGTTAATATAACATTAGGGAGTAAAACAATTGCAATGTGTTGCTTTGTTATCTTATATATTATTTCTCACCTACTCTCTTGCATTTAAGCTGCATCATTTTAAGCATTGTAACCGATTTCTCCAGATACTATAGTTTGTGCTACATCTCAAATGGTACTTTAACTGCTGACTTTTGGATATTTCTGTAATATTGAGTTTTGCACCTTTAGTTCTGCTATCTTTTGAAGGTATCTCTATCTTCCTGGGTTTTTCAAAAATCACCTGTGTGAGTACTTTTGTATTTATATACTTTCTGACAGCTGGAATTTGAATTATACTTTGATGCTTTTCATAGACTTTAAGAGCAAGCTTAGTGTGTACAAGGCATGTTTAAGATGTATTACACCACTTTTATACAGTTTTTAGAGGTCTAGATAATGTGCCCACTAGGCAGGCCAGGCCATTGTATCTTTTTGAACTGTTAGTAAGGATGCATGTTTTTCAACACTTTCAACTTGTGACAATAATTTCTGCAATAATAGATTTATCTGGATTTTTTATTTTGTAAATATTTCTATCCTTTTTTTTTTTTCTTGATCAAGAAATTTTTATTATTTAGTTCTGTGGAAGTACATTTACAGACGATACGCCATCTGACCAAACAACAACTATTCAATAAATGTTTGATGAGATAAATTTGTCCATGCTGCCATTATAATGTGTGAAAATCTTTTTTTTATTTAAGTTTTTAGTTTTTGGTCATATATTCAAAAACTAAAAATTTTAACTTGAAGGAAGATAACAACTGATTTTTAAGATATATTTTTCATGAAGTTTTAAATGTAGCTATGTGTCCTCTTTACAGCAAACATTTTCATCAAAAGTTTTTTACAAGCCATTTAGTTGTTTCATTTTAATAAACTTAAATGCAAAATTAAAAATTAGTTACAAAATTAAAAATTAATTGCAAATTTCAATTGAAAAAACAAAAAATCTACTAAATATATAACTCTTAGTTTTATAATTTATAAATTAATAAGTTGTGTGTTTGTATATAATTTTTATTTTTAAAACTGTTGCATTGTTTAATATAATTAGATTTTTTTTATTAGCCTGATGATGATTTCTCTGACAATTCTGATGATGTTGATGAGAAAGGAGTAAGATTGCTGTGTGCATTTTTATTTCCAACTTTTTTTTTAATGACAATGAAATTATTTTATTGTTTATTTTTCTTTCTTTTTTTTTCCTAATAGCTTCTGCCTGTTGAAAGGAAAGCAATTCAATTAGAGAAAGCAAGGAAGAAGATAAAGTATTTGATTATAATTATTTTCTTTTAAAATAATTTAGTTTAATTGTCATAAACCATACAATATTTTTTTTTGTTTTTATGGCAGTCATCTACTTTTTTATAAGGTTATCTTAAATAGTAAATATAATTTGGTGCAAAAAGTATATAAAAACTTTTTGTCAAATGGCTTTTTCTTTTTTTTTCTTTGTCATTACCTTGTTTCAAATTATTATTTTGTATTTTATTTTTCCTATATTTTTTTTTCAATTTGTTGTTAAATGCTAATAAAATATTATTTCATTGTTTTTGTCTTGTAACTTTGGTCTTTAAACTTAATTAATTCGAATTAAAGAACTGTTAATAATCTCAAAATTAAAACATACCTATGTTCATTACAAATCAATACATTTAATTTTTTTTTTCTGAATTTGGTGATATAAGGTATTGATAATTATCTGATGATTTCAATTTTATGTTTTTAGATCTTTATCTGATGCAGAAATTATAACAAATATATCTGAAAGTGAAGTATTTGTTCTACCAAGTGGTCAGGAAATTGAGAAAGAAAATATCTTTTCCCAAAATGTTTCAAACCTTTTGATATATATATATATATATATATATATATATATATATATATATATATATATATATATATATATATATATATATATTAGTCTTCTTCAATCAAATTTTAATGCTTATGATAAAGCGCTAGGAGGATGGTCATTTTTTAGTTGGTCTGCGCAATTTAGAATACTTATTTTTTTCTGCTATCAAAATTAAAATAAATACATCAAAAATAATAATAAAAATAATAAAAAGAGTACTTCGAATAAATATTATATAAAAAATTAAAAAAAAACCTAGCAAAAAAGCCATTTTTGATAAAAGTTTTAACAAAAATGTCACCTTGATTTTTTTTTTGAGGCATTGTTATAACTTACATTAGTCACATTCTACTGCAGTATAAAATTTTTTTAGACTTTGCATTAATATATTTTAAATAATTATTTTTCAATTTTGCTCGGGTCAAAAGTCTTTTAACTTTCAATTATATTAAAAAAAAAACAAAAAAAAAACGAAAAAAAGAAAATAACTATCAAGGTTAATGAAATTTTAAATTATATTAATCAATATTAATATAATTAATATTGTAGCATTTTAATTAATATTGTATCGTAGCATAACCTTTTAAGGTAACAATTGTGTCAGTATAGGGTACAGGCAACACATGCAAAAAAGACTAATATTGATTTATTTAAAAGAACTTTATGTAAAATCCTCAACCACAAACTCTTTAGGAACTCACAGTGTTTGTATCTGTATCTATCATCAGAATGTTGTTAACTCCTAAAATTGACAAAGATTATGCAGATTTAATGGGAAATGAATGTTTTCAATAGGAATCATGCCAAGTGCATCCTACATCGATGTCTTCTATGTTCTGGTATAACTGCTTTAAAAGAATTCTTAACAGTAAAATTTGACAACAGTGATAAAGAAATAACAATTAACCAATGAATACATATAGAACTACACTGATCAAATAATAAATCAATATTGAAGACGTTATTGACCTTATATGCAATAAAATAGATAAACTAACATCTCATTCACTTTTAGCTAAAGGTCAGGCCAAGTACCTTAAAGATTGTAAAGAGTTATTAAATCACAATGAGTGTATAATATTGGGTGACTTTGCAGAGAACTTTGAATTTATTTTTCAGGATGAGGTGCAAAGTTACCTCTGGAATAAACCAAAATGTACACTTCATCCTATTATTATATAAATCAAATGGTAAACTGATATCTAAGTCATTTTTCTTTCTTTCTGATGACGTTGAGCGTGATGTATACTTTGTATATAAAAATACAACAGCTCATTATCAGTTACATTAAAGCAAACATTCTACAAATTAGTAAATTAAATACTTTACTGATGAATGTGCAGCCATGATGATGATCTTTGCGATCACAAAGAAAACTTTGATATTGATGTTAAATTTTTTTTTTTTTGCTACAAGCCATGGTAAATCTACTTGTGATGGCATTAGGGCAGAAATAAAACAGAAATAAATGAAGTTAGATCATCATTACAACTGAAGTTTACTATGGGAAGAACCTTGACAGGAACAAGATGCTTCCACTATTTTCTACCAATTAATAAATGTATAATTTCTTTACAAAGGATAAGTCAACAAACTGATGTTCAGACATTTAACCTTGCAGATACCAAATGAGCTGGTTGTGCAGCAGTTTATTTATAATCATGTGGGTTATGTAGTTTGCAAGTATGATAATTTTTGGTGGATTAGAATTATAACCATAAAAGATAAAAGAGAAGGAGACTATAAAATTCAATTTACGCATCCACATGGTCCCATCAAATCTTGATTTATGTACCATTGATCCGTTATCTACAACAAATGGTCGCATATATAAAATTTCAGAATTAGAAAATTTTTGAACAAAATAATAAAGATTTATAGAAAAGATTTCTAATGCATTATTTTTATATTAGTATGTTATTTTTTCAAATATAGTTGAGAAATAACTTTATGTGAGCATGTGTAATTGGCACAATTTTTCTCAAAATTTTTCCTAGTCACTTGCCTTTATGTTTTTAACAACAACAACAAAATAAGGAAGGGGTTTGGTAATGGTTAATATACCCCCTACCTTTTAGACCATAAGCCCTGCCAGGTACAAAAAATATATAAATAAAGTATAAATTTAATATTGCCCTCAAAAAGAATTTTAACAATAAATTTTTACAACATAAAATTGAAATATAGCTAATTTTGTCATAAATAAGTTAGCAATAAATTTTATGCTGACTCATAATACAGCATATATACTTAAGCTTTACTTAAAAGGCTACGTTTATAAGAGTTGGAAAATGCAGAAATATATTTTTTATTAATAGTGATGTTATATATAGTTATAATGCCTCAAAAAAAAATTATCAAGGTAGCATCACCATTTTGACTGTCAAAATACCCCGAAATATATGCCTTTATTATATAATTTACATGTAATTAAGGTAATCAAAAAAATTTTCAATTTGAAATTTGTATTTGCCATGTGGAAGATAGTCTATGTACAAAATATAAAGATACCTCATTTTGTTCATAAAATATTGCTATTTAACAACAAAAAAGTATTTTTCAAAAAACGCAGAGTCAGCATAAATAAGAAAATTGAATCCTGAATATCTTAAGAACTGTAAGGAGTTAGAGGTTCCAAATTTCAGATTTTCCTAAATTTCATAAACCCTTTAACATATAAAAAAAATTGCAAAATCCAAAACATGGGGTAACATGAGCCTGCTAATTTGACATGGAATTACACGTTTATATTTTTTAATAAATGGTACTTAGAAACTTAAATCTTTGTCACAAAAAAAAGCGCTGGTAAAGTAATTAACTTGAGTTATTTTCTTTGCAACAAGTAATATTTTTTGTTTGTTAATAACTTTTTAAAAGTAAAAACAAATTATTTGCGAAGATGCAATTATAAGAAATTATGATAGTAAAAATAACAAATTTTAATTAATTTATACAAATTGTCACATTAGAATTATAGGGTTCTATCTGCCTTTTTTATGTTGTAAGAACTTAACTTTCAATATTTATTTAATACATGTTTTACAGCTGTTATTCATTATAATTATAAATTATAATGAATAACAGTTGTTTAACAAGTTGTTCATGTTATCTATATATCATTATCTGTTATATATAATATATCATTTTTTAAGTGGTTTGTTTTTATTATTTATTATTATTTAAAACTTTGAATGTTAAATTCTTTTAACATAAAACAAGGCAGATAGAACCCTATAATTCTCATGCGACGAAATGTCAAGAAAAGAAAGAAATTAATTTATGTTAAATAATAATTTAAAAAAAAAAAAAAATTTAATTATTTAAAATGAAAAAATAAAAAAAATTAAAACAAAATTCTACAATATGTACATTTACAAAATAGTTTTTCTTAATTAGTAAAATAAACTTGTTTTATAGTATTTGATTTTATTGCAGTAGCTAACAAAGTTATTGTCCTTAAATAATAAAAAAAATAAAGATAATTTTATGATGTCAAAGCTACAAAGAGCTAAGCTGTTTTTTATTTAAAAACAAGGCCTGTTATATATTTTTAAACTCTTATTTACTTCCAACAAGGTTGCAAGCAACCACTATTAAGTTATGAGTTATTTTAAAATAGAGGATAGGGTTAAAAACTAGGAAATAGTTAACTGAAGACTTAAAAAGTTGTAGATTGTATATATAAGAAAAACATGAAAATGGGTAAAAGTACAGATTAGAAAAAAATGTTGTATCAAACAACGTTTTTTAGAGAAGATTAGAGTGGTTTAGGTATCAGCATGTAGAGAGGTACCATCTTCAGGATTAAATGGTAAAAGTAAAAGTAAAAAAACTTGAAGAATGTGCTTTTTATATTGTATGAATGAGCTTTAGTTAAGGAAAAAAAAATGCACTAGATTGTTTATATTAGAGAAACAGCATAAATAAGGAAGACTAAAGCCTGATAATGATGATTATGATGATCGTGTTGATCATAATGATTTTTATATATGCATATATATACAAAATATGACATGAGTTTTGAATAAAAAAAATGTATTTTAGGATATATAAATGTTCATGCAGCCCTGGTCACAAACCTATCCCCATCTATACTTTATCAAACCCTGGCCCCTGTCCAATATCATTCCCGGTCACTTTCTACTTCATATTCAACATCCAGTTTCAAAACTTTTTAATTTTTAAACATTTATGCTAAGTTTGAAACTTGCTAATAATTTTTTTTAATAATAAAAAGTAATTTTTTTTTACTATGTTGTCTTTTTAAGCTTTTAGAGGTCTTTACAATTTTTAGATTTATATTTCTATAAAAATTCATTTGATAATTATTTCTAGAAACACACCAAAAACTTTAACTTGAACTTAAAATTATGCTTACAATTTACGAAAAAATTTAATTTTTTCGTAAATTGTAAGCATAATTATGTCCATAGATTTTCTAGATTTAACTTTTTTTAGTAACAATGTAAACCAGTCTTTATTGTATATATTATTTTTCTTAAATAATATATGCAATGAATTAGGAGAGAAATTTATTATATTTTTGAATAAACTTTCTTAACATTGTATTTAACATAATGAAAATACTGACTTGACTGTCATACATCAGCGTATAAAAGATAATCTTCATGTCCTCAGCAACTTTAAAAAGTATAGACAGCCAAACAGGTATAATTGTTTAAAGTTTTAAGTATTTTACTTTTGTATAATTATTTTTATTTATTACAATTATATTATAATTATTTTTAATTTTTTTTTGTTTGAATTTTAAAATTATTAAATTTTTACAATTGATTAATAAAAGTAGTGATTGAATTGTGCTTTTCTTTTTTTTTTTAAAAAACAAACTATTTTTATTTAATTATTATTATTTTTTTAATATTGTCTTTTAAAGTATTATTAATATTTCAATATTAAATTAACAAAATCATTTTATTACTGAAAAATTATACTTAAAAAAAACACTTTAAAAAACAATTTTTAAAAAGTGAAAGTAAAGAAAATAGTTAAAAAACAAAAAACTGTCAACCTAAGCAGATTTGTAAAAAGTTTACAAATCTGCTTTGAAATATTTATTCTTACAAAATCTTTTTTGAAATATTTTTTCTGTAAAATAGGTTATGTAAAAAAATATTTTACAGGAGTCGCTCAGAATATTTACATTTACTGCTGCGAGATCTTATGACATATTACAGTTACAATGAATATTTTATGGAGTCTCTAATAAACTTGTTTCCTGGTGGAGAGGTATAAATAATTTATTCAAATGCTAATATAAATATTTCACTTTTACATCTCATATTAATATAAATGTATGTATGTATGTTTGTATGTATGAATGTATGTTTATCTATATGTGTATGAGGCTCTTTAGCCATAGCAAAGGTAGTTTACCTAGTGGAGGAAAATTATGATATGAAACTTCCAATTTAGATGTGGGTATAAGTGGTTATGAGTAAGTGGAACTTGTTAACTTTAGATGTTATTCCACTTAAAGGGATCTCTGAGTGCTAAGACAAATTTATTTTATAAATAAACATGAGAAAATAAGTTTTGAATTAATTTAACTTACCAAAACAAATTAGTTATAGAGATATTAACAAAAAGTTTCGGCTTTTTTTGTTTTCATCTTTATTTTTGGTCCTAAATCAAATTCTAGGCTTACAATTTACATTTGTTACAAAAAATATCTGGTTTGCTAAATGAATGCTTCTGTTCATTACAGAAGTTCTTTTAAGCAGAATAATTAATCCATGAGTTTGGGTTTTGCCCTTTTAAATTTGTCTTAAGTGGTTATAAAATGTTTACACTGCATTTCAGTTACTGGAGACAAAATGAAAAATGTTATTAAACTTTTTTGAAGCTTTTATTAAAAATCTAGTTATTAAAAAAATATATACACAGTATATTTACACACACAAGCACACATAGAGATGAAGAGAGAAATTGTAATTAACTAACTAAAGTACACTAACAAAAAATAATTTTGAATTGTTCCTTTAGAAAAATTTTCTTATTCTTATTTCATTTTTATGTACTTATTATATTTACTTGTTGTTACTGACTTTATGCATCTAGTTATATCAGTTACATCATATATGATATTTCTATATTTCATAGTTCTATATGTAATCTCTATAAAATATATCATAATATTTTTTAAGTCTTTATAAAATTTTGACTGTAAAACTGTAACGCTTCTAAATAGTTAGCTTCAGAAGTTTTTGCATATTACTCAGGGCTCAATTATGGTCGGAAATCGAACATTGTCCAGCTAAAACCTCAAATTGTCCGATCAATTTACAAAGTAATCGGACATTTTGACCAAAGGGAATCAAATTCTACAAAATAAATACTTTAGTATATATATATATATATATATATATATATATATATATATATATATATATATATATATATATATATATATATATATATATATATATATAAATAAATTAAAGTTAAGAGTAAAGTAAATTAAAAATAAATGAAAAGCTTTAAAATAAAACTCAAAAAACTCTAAGTTAAAATTATTTTTTGTTACATTTTTAATCGCCTTTGAAATAAATTACTTTAAAACTTATCTTTTGAAACATTTTATTAAAGTTACGCAAAACGCTTTTACAAATTACTTCTATTGATTGTTTAATAAATAAACAAATTTTATTTAAATTATTGAAAAGTGAAATTAAATTATTGAAATTTAAAAAATTAAATTATTGAAAAATATATATTTTTTTCAAGTTGTTTAAACATTTTTTTCAAAAAGTTGCAAAAAAAAAATTGTTTAAAAAAGCGTCTTTTTAAATTTTTAACTATTTCATTCTTTGATTAAAAGTCAAGTTTAAAAAAACAACAACTTTTAAACAATTCTTTGTAAAAATAGAAACAAAAATAAAAAAGCAATTTAATCTTGGGAAGATTTAACTTATTCATAATTTAAAGTAAATTGAAAATATTATTCTTTTAATAAAAGATTTTTAGAAAGACTTTTTATGATAAATTTAAATGTTTGAAACTATTTTAAATATAGTTTCAAACGTTTAAATTTATTATAAAAAATACATAGCTACTAAAAATTAAATATAACATTTAATTTACACATAATGCATTTATTTTAAATTATAATTTTTGATTTTATTTAAACTTTTGAAAAGTTTTGATTTTATTTAAACTTTTGAAAAGTTTTTTATTTAAAGTTTTTATTTTACCCCTTCCAGTAAAATAAAAACTTTGAAAAAGATCAACGATTAAAAGTTATTTGTAATGTAACGATTTTTTTAATTGCATTTAAATAGTTAAAATATCAAAAAAGTCGTTGTCAAGTTGTAAAGAATAAAAAAAAAAAGCGTTGTCAGTTATAGCATGCAAGTTCAAGTCTATCTAAAAAAAAACATGCAATATTAATTTGGAATTTTTATTAAAAAAAAGCAAAAATCTGCGATAAAATATTAAAAAATAACTAATGTTAAATAAACTTAATAACATGACAGATTTCGATTTCATAACTTGGTTTTGTAAAACCGTAAAAATTATATTGATCAGACACTGTCTGACCCAAACAAGTTTTAATCGGACATTTTGTTCGGGACTTTTTAAAAAATTAAATTGAGCCTTGTTATTTGATATCATTTGAAGTAGGAGCAAAACTAAAGTAATGAAAGTTTGTGTTTTAAATTCTGTTTGCTTTTATAAAGACATAAAATTGATAACTAGATTTTATCTCATAAAACTAAATTTTAAAAGTTGTTTTGTCATTTTAACAAAATAAACCTTATTAATTTGTAACTAAATGGTAATAAATATTTTTATTGTATTTGCTTGTATTTTCATGCAACAAATTCTTACTTTTATGTGTAGAGATCTACAGATCAATTTTTTTTTTTTTTTGTTGAAAAGGTCTCCAGATCAAACCTCAGTCCTTGGTATTTAGGGTGTTAAATTTAATACAGTGTTTTGACAAAATTGGAAAATTGTCAAAATAGTTCCCAATCACCCCCTCCACCCCACCCACCCACACTCCTTCTTCCTCTGAAATTAAGATTTGTTCTGGGAGTTCATGGGGTCTTTTTGCTTATTTTCTTTTCTCTTCTACTTCGCTTCAGCACTGCATACCCTCTGTCACATTTATTAAAGATAAATATGAAAACACCAAATTAAATGTGGCTTCACAACGACACAGCAAATTAAACTCCAATTTCCAAAGACATTAAGAATTATATATTTTTATATTATTTTAATCAATGCATATTCTAGTAGAGAGTATTCTATTGAATATATATTTCTTTTTTACTGGTAGGTATTTGTGTAAATGGATTTCTTTTTTGATCCACAAGCAAATGGAGACAATTAAAAATAACATTTAATGCCTGCAATTTAAAATAAAAGTAAATATGATTTGCAAATCTTCAATTTTTACTATTTACCATAGTTGTTATTTACTACAATATTTCTTAAAAAATAATTAATATAAATACCATAATTAATATTGTCCATAAAGAACATTACCCTGAGTTTAGCTAATAGCTAGAAGTAGGAGATTATTGTGCAGAGATTTTCAAAGTAATATAGCAATTCAATCAAAATCTTTGCAGAAGAGAATGATCTTTCACTTTTAATTATTTAAAATTATAATACGTGAACCATTGTAATAAAATGTTATTATTATTTAAGCATTTAAATTTGCTTTTACGTTTTAAATTCAAGCAAGCGGTGAATTTAGTTTTCTTGTTATTTAAATTTCTAGTACCAGTTTGTTGTAATAAAAAAAACTTTCTTTTTATTAGAGTTATTATTCAACTTTAATTTATGATTTGGTAAACTCTTTTTTGAGAGTGTGATTTTTTTTACATTTAAATAAGGAATTTTAATTTTATGAGCATTTGAGAATACCGTGTTTGAAGGGACCCAACAGTACTAGTTTATAATCTGATATTAAAATGAAGTTTTAAGCGCATTTATTTAGTTTATCCAGATTTATGCAGATGTGTTAAATTTTTGCAGATGTGTGTTTAATTTATATATGTTTTGTTATGAATTTAATTAACATTAAACTGTTCTTTGATGACTTATATTTTAAATTTTTTTGATAATTTCATTATTTTTAGATCTTAGAGTTTTTAGAAGCTTGTGAAGTAAAACGTCCAATCACAATACGTTCTAATTCATTAAAAACCAGGCGTCGTGATCTTGCACAGGCTTTAATTAATCGTGGTGTTAATCTTGATCCGATTGGCAAATGGTCAAAAGTTGGTCTTGTTGTTTACGATTCTTCTGTTCCTATTGGTGCAACTCCGGAATATCTTGCTGGTCATTACATGATTCAAGGTGCATCCTCAATGTTGCCAGTAATTGCTCTTTCTCCACAAGAAAATGAGAGAATTTTAGACATGTGTTCTGCACCCGGTGGTAAAACAACATATATCGGTAAATAATTTTCAGCATTTTTAAAATTGAACGAGTTTTAAAAATTGCTTAATGTTATTTTATACCATTTGTAGTGTCAAAATTTGACTTGAATTAAAGTACCTGAATTGTTAATGAAACAAAATGTCAAAATTTTAATTGTTTAAAATCTTGTTTAAAAAAATATAACTTTTTAAGTAATCATTTAGCCAAGATAAAAGAATTTAAAAGAAAACATTTAAAAGTTTCTCCTTATTTTTTTAAATTTTTTTGCTTTAAATTTTTATTTTTGAAATTTTTATGTGAATGTGATTAAATGCTTGTTGCCTCAATAATTTGTTTATACTTAATTAAATAGCATTAAATTTTATATAGATTAAGCATATTAGCATTAAATTTTATATAAATTGAGAATGTTTTTTAGAAAATAAAGGTTTTGGTTTTATAGTTTGTTTGGTTGCTTTAAAAATTAAAATGTTGCCATTTTTCAATATACCTTGCTCACTTTATTCACAACATTTAAATATTGTGACAATAATTTGTAAATTATCAATTTACTTTTCTCTTAACATATAAATATTGTGACATCAGTTTGTCATTTTTTGCTGTTATCACTTAGTACAAATGCACTAAAACTATGTAATAAAAAATGTAATTAATTTATAAACTAAAATAAATAATGATCACAAATAAGCTAAAATAAAAAGCTTAATAAAATGTGTGAAATTTGTTATGGATATGATAGGTCTTATTTTATTGATAGGTCTTTTTTGAAATTTGTGTTAACTAATATTTTTTTATTGATAGGTTGTTTTTGAAATTAGCTTAGCTAAATAATTAGCTAATTTTCAAAAAAAAAAAACTATTTTTAATTCCATAACTAATTTTTAAACAATAGCTGTACCATTTTTGTTTAAGACCACTTGTCAATGCTTCGGCAAAAAACAAATGTCATTGGCATAGAACGTTTTAGGCTTTAAATCAAAAAATTGATTAAGATGCTGTTGGGTTACATCCTTGTCATCAAGCTTTTGATTTTACAAGCTGTTGCTTAATGATTGAAAAATAAACCTTCATATAAACATGAGAGATTTATTTTCCGCTGTAAAATTTGTCAAATCAATGTTGTGTACATATAATAGGTGAGTATTTGCCAAAGTCCAAAGATTTAATTGAAATCTGTTTATAAATTACTGAAGGTACTATAAAAATATACATAGGTCTTCATTAAAAAAAATACATTTTTGTTTTTATTTTGAAAAATCTTTTGTTTATTTTTTTATAAAAGCTATGTACATTTTTTACATACTAATTTTTCAGAAAAAGTTTTTTGATTTCAATAAAAATCTAAGTTTTCAATGTTCTTAACAATGTTGTATAATAATACAACAAATATTTTTCAAGCACATGTAAATTTGCTACTGAAATATCTTATCAACAAATGCCATTATGCGTGCTCGGCGTTGTGTCTTCGAGAGTAATATTCAGAGTTGGAAATTGGTTGCAAGTATGTGGAGAGGGTCACTCAAAAGCGTACCAGTGTGTACAAGGAAAAGGGTGGTCAATTTTGTGTTTGAATTCTTTTTAATGTGAAGTTCGGGAAATCAGATAAAAAAGCTTTGGTTTTTAAGTTAATGCATATGTCTACTGGAAAAAATGTTACTGCAGCTTTGATATTAAATAAAAGAATGAAATATCGCCATTTTTTAAAAGATGAAAACATAACTTAGTTTCCTATTTAATAGGTTATTGTAGTTGAATTAACATGCTTGATTGTGGACAAATAACAAACAAACAACAGAAATGTTTTTATTTAATTTAAAATAAATAATAGTTAAAAATAAAAAGAATATTTCTTTTATTTACAAAAGATGTGTAAAAAATTAAAAACATTAAAGTAAAAGAATTTTACTTTTTTACAAAATCTTGTGGATAAAAACTTTTGATTTTTCAAAATTCAATCAAGTTTTAACTTGTTAATTTAAATTTTCTATTTTCATTGAGACGAAATGTTTTGAATATAGTAAACATTCTATTCTATCTGTTAGCAGTTATGATTTCATAACTTTCTATTCATTGTTTGTACAAAATAGAAAACTGCTTTCTAATTTAAACTAAATGCACCATTTGATTATTATCAAGTGAATAATATTTTACATACATGATTATATACTTAATAAATATATAATAGACTTATACTAATATAATATATATTAGTGTAAGTATATATATACTTATACAAATATAATATATAAATAACTTATATACTGACATATATTTTGAGAAATGCATTTGAAAATAGTAACATTTTTTCTTTTGTTGTTTGTGAGCACGCTTCCAAAAGATTCAATTCAAAACAAATATATTTACTACATGGTCGATAGCACGGGTTTCGAAGTGGAGGGGCACAATCGTCTATTTTTTAAAAAAAGTCCTCTATATCTAGAATTTTTTCTAAATAATTTTAAGTTGCGTATAGCTTTAACTTTTTTAATAAATATACTTTAATATAAGTTTAACTGATTCGAAGATACCAGTGAAAATATTTAGTTTATTAACTTATTTGAGAAAAAATATTTGGTATTTAAACATTTTGATGTTTTTAAATTCTAAATATAATAGTCATTAATTAATAGAATGTGATTGAACCTGTATGAAATCGAAACTATAAGATCATTCCATAAATTAGAGATGGAATGTTAGACCTTTTATTAGTGGCGCTATTGAAGATTTTTTAAATGTCTCTAGAGCCTAACTTCTGAAATAAACTAGGAAACTTAGTGAACTGAGAATAATAGAGCTTAGCATCAAAATTAGTGAATCAAGGAAAAAAAAAAAATTATTATTAATACTATTATTATTTATGAATATTTATATATAACTATGAGTTGATAAAAAACTGCTTACTTTAATTATTTTTTTAAAAACCAAATAAAAAACTTTAATGCATATATATGCATTCATGTACAAGAAAGCACACCTTTTTTCATCATTAAAAATGGTCTAAAATCTTTTTCTATTAAACTGAAAGTACCATTTCTTCTACTCTTTAAGGATTCAAGTATGAAAGTTGAGTTTAATCAGATTAAATATTAAGAGCACATATTGTTAGTAATTTATTATTGATTATTTATTTTTATTATTATAAAGCTGTTGTGTAAAAATTATGTGCAAAGTTCTCACCAGATTAAACTTGAGCAGTTATAGAGAGATGACTCCATAACCATAGACGAGGGTTATATACAGAACCACAATATTCTAAATATGGTCGTACTAGTGCTGAAAACAGATGACTGTTTTCAGCACTAGTACGACCATATTTAGAATATTGTGGTTCTGTATATAACCCTCGTCTACTGAAAGACAAACGACAAGCTGAAAATATACTCAGAAGAGCATCTAAATCAGTTCATGGATTAAAAAGTCTAACATATCACCAAAGACTATTGAAACTTAATATGACAACCATAAGATACAGACTAATCCGGGCTGATTTAATAAACGTCTATAAATGGCTAAACAACTACTACAACTGTCAAACGATCTTAACAAAAAACAATTATAAATTCTATTACAAGAGGACATTCATTTAAACTAGAAAAACCTTATTCTCGTCTAGCTTCTCGTCAATACTTTTTCACCTTACGAGTAATCAACAAATGGAACTCCCTCCCAGATGACGTTGTAAATGCTACTTCCGTAAGCAATTTTAAAAACAAACTCGACAATTATCTAAAAGAAGAAAAAACAATTTATGACTAGTATATTTATATAGTAATCATAAGACAGGTTGACAGGCATTTCATGCCTATACAAATCCAATTTGTAAACCTTAATAATAATAATAATAATAATAATAACAGTTAAAGTTTACTTAACATTAAAAAAGAATTTTAATGTTTTGACATTAACAGTTTCATAGTTCAAATTATACCAAGCAAGTTTTTGGCTAGAAAATGTCACTTTAGCCAATGTGCAGTGTTTTTATTATAAAAATATTACGGCCCACAAATTAAAAAATTATTAAAAACATTCAAATTTAGTACAAAAATTGTACAATGAAAAACAAAGGTAATTTTAGTGCAAAAATTTGATGTCATTTATTTAAACTAACTTAACTAAAAATACTACAAAATTGAAAATAAAAACATTTAAAAATAACTCATTAATTAAATTTCCTTTATTTTATTAAAAGAAATCAACATAAATTAATAAATTCCGTAAAAAAACAACAACTACAAAAACAGTTGTATAAGACTTATTTTAAGACTTATTATTAACAGACAATTATTATGTAAATAATAATTACCTATTATTAATATAATTTCTACCTTATTTTAAATTACTATATAAATTGTTTTATATTTGACAACAAAAATTTAAAACAATCAGATTATTTTTACATAGATGAGTTTTTTCCGGAAATTCCCGGAATTCCGGAAATTCACATAAAACACCTTTAATTTTTCCAGGAATTTCCGGATGTTTTTTTGATATTAATTTGAAAAAAAATTAATATATTTTTACATAAAATTTTACATACGACAGCTTTTGCATTTAAACAAATATGTTTTCTATAATTAAAATTTTTACAAGATCGATTTTTGTAACAATTTTTTTACTTCATTTTTTTTTTGCTTTTTAATTAATTCAAACTTTTTCGAATATTAGAAATTCCTTTTTGTAAAAAATTAATTAGTATAAATTCCGTTTTAAAATAATCTAAATTCCGTTTGTCAGTTAAATGCGATCAATTTTTAATAAAACAAATTACCGGGATTTTCCGGGATTATCAAAGAAAAAAAATTTCCGGGATTTTCATAAAGTCAAATACTCATCTATGTTTTTATAACAATTTTTTTTTTTTTTTAATAATAATAAATTGTTGTTTTGAAAAAAAAAATTAAAAATGTTTGTGTTCACTAGGATCACTTATGAAAAATACTGGTGTCATTGTTGCAAATGATGCGAAAGCAGAGCGACTCAAGTCATTAATTGGAAATATTCACAGATTAGGGATAACAAACACAATTGTGTGTAACTATGATGGTCGCTCTTTTCCAAAAGTAATGGGAGGGTTCGACAGGGTGTTGCTTGACGCTCCATGTAGTGGTACAGGTGTCATTTCTAAGGATGAACAAGTCAAAACTAACAAGGTAGAAAATCTTTAAATATATTTTGTTAAAATCAATGTTTTAAATGATTTAAAAAATTTTTTTTTTTTAATTTAGTCTGAAAAAGACATTCAACGATGCTCTCATGTTCAAAAAGAACTATTGTTAGCAGCCATTGATTCAGTTGATGCAAAATCAAAAACTGGTGGTTACATAGTATATTCGACCTGCTCAATTATGGTTTACATTTTAAATTTTGCTCTTTATTATTAATTTTATATTTTATTAAATAAATATTCTATAAATAGTTGTTAGGCAACATATTTTATCAATATTACATGTAGTTATTATTTTTTTTAGGTTGAGGAGAATGAATGGGTTGTTGATTATGCTTTGAGTAGACGAAATGTTAAACTTGTACCAACAGGAATTGATTTTGGAAAAGAAGGGTATACAAGGTATTTTAAAAAGTTTTAATATTTTTAAGAATAAGAATTTTAAATACAAGATGGCCACTGGTCATGGTAATCATGAAAATGTCATGGAATTTTATTTGGTCATGGAAAAAGTCATGGAATTCCAAAACTTTAATTAAAAGTCATGGAAAATTCATGGAACTTTTTAAAATAATCTTAATTTTTTTCTTGCAATATTTTTAGGATGCAAAAAAAAGTACCAGTATGACTAAGTCTTTTAAAAAAAATTTTATGCAGTGAAGTAAAAGAGTTTTTTTTAGACAAGATTTCAGAACTTTCTACCAATTAGTTTTTGGTTTGCAAGTTTTATAGCATAATAATAACAGCACTAAGCAACCAAGTTGCTTAGTGATTATTATTATGCTTAGTGCATGGCAAGTACTAAATATTTTACTCAAGTGATTTATCATAAAAGTTTATGAAGAGTCATGGAAAAGTCATTGAAAAGTCATGTAATTTCATTTTCAAGTGGCTGCCCTGTAAATAGTTTTATTATGTATGCTATATGAATTGATCTTGGATGAAAAGGATATACTAGGTTTTTAACAAATAAAGTTTTTATAGTTTTAGCTATTGAAATTTTAATAGTTTTGTTATATAAATTTGTTATAAAATTATTGTTAATAATTTTAAAACAAATTTATTATATCTACTGTTGTGTTTTTGGTTAGTACCTTATTACTACTTGATTTTTATTTTGCCAACATATATTTTATTCATAAGCAGATACTAAAGCTTCTGGAAAAAAGGTTTCCTAACATAATTGTATTACTGGTTGTACTTTGCAACAATTTCATTTTAATTTCACATTTTATACGTTTCTAGACATTTCTTAATCTTGCAGCAGCAGTTAATAATTTGAATCTTTGAGTAGATGTAGAAATTTGATTGTTAGTAATCATTTTCTGAGATATTAAGATTTTGAATGTTTTTTTTTTCTTATTGTTTTAATAAGTTTGAGTGATAAGTGAGCAAAATTATGTTGTTCTAAATTGTTCTTTTAAAACTTAGTTAACTTAAAACAAATAGTAATTAATTAGAAATGATAATTTGAATAGAGTACTATGGAATGTTGGTCAAAACTTGATCAAAAAAATCTTGGTTCAATCTTGGTGCAATAGTTTTAAATATAACTTGCAATAATTTTTTGAATTTATGTAATTTTTTTTTTTAATGTGCAAAAGTTATTGAACATTTTTTTGGTGTACTTGAAGACATAAGATACCTGTTTCAAAGTTTTAAATGCAAAGAGCTAGAGTAACCTAGTAACATTTAACATTGTTTGTGCTATCTGTGTAAATATAAATAAAACACTAATTTGAAGATCATTAAAGCTTTTTTTGATTAAGTAATTTGATACTTTTATGGGCAAAAGCTAAAAATTGAAAAAAATGTTGGATTTACTTTTTTGGAAATTTCATTTAAAACTCAACTATTAAAAGTATTACACACACATTTATTTTTATTATCCATCGCAATTTACAACATAATGGACAAATAAGCTCACTTTGTATAGTTAGGAATTTCTGTTGTTGTTTTATCAACATCCAACTTTAGCAATCATGTTTTTTACAAATCTTGTTTACAAGCAAGGCTTTTTAATTTAAAAATAAAAAAAATGAAAAACGGTCATAAGATAACTAAAAGTTATCTTTCTGATAAGGCTCATAAAAATCTTATTTAAAATTTAGAGAGAAACTGCCTTAACAAATAAGTATGCAGAAATATGAATCCCATATTTGTATATACAGATTCAAGCATTCAGTTTCTTGCTTCTTGTAGAACTATTCCAGGCTCTGAGATTCCAGATTCTGAACTATTTCAGATTTTCTGGAACAGGCTCGAATTATATGTATTGACATTCAAGTTTAAATTAATTGCATTATAAAACGTTTGCAATAATTATTAACTTGTACAATTTATATTAAACTTTTTGTTTAAAATTAATGTACAATGTACTGTTTAAAATTAATATAGTAATGTACAGTATTTAACTTAGCTTCATTTGCAAAAAGTTCTTTGTGTTTGATAAAAAACCTTACATATTTTGGGACAAATAAGTAAATGAACCTTTTGACTTGATTTTTGGTGATTAAAGTTTAAAAAATTTTTTTTTAGTATTCCTTCATGAATTATTCCTTCAATGCTTTTATTTCATTGGTTGAAATTTTATTTCTTATTTAATGACAATGAATTTTTACAAGAAAGTAATTGTCATTCTTAAAGTAGATTTTGTAATGTGAACTCAGATACACTTTGAATATAAAATGCTAATTTATTGAGATAAAAAAATATTATTTTTATAAATTTTATTAAAGTATCCTTATACTTAGTTCTTTGATCTGCATGAAATATCATTGTTGATGTCATATTGAAATAGCCATTGTTTGTTGTTTACATCAACTGAGGGTTTTAGTGCATACATAAACAATCATACATTAAAAAAAATTTGTTCTGTGCATAACAAGAGAATCTGGCCATAAATCCGGTTCAATTTCATCAATCATGCAAAAATCATACAAAGATGTTTTTAGAAGAATCATTGCTAAAAGTGAAATTCAGACTGCAACTTCAGATATAAATTAGTAGATTAACATTTTTTGGAGCAAAAAATTAAAGAAAGAATGGTGTGCATGGAAGAAATTTACAAAGAAGAAAACTACTGAAAAAAAACTTGATATTTTCATGTTTTAGATATTAGGAAGAGAGGAAGGCGAGGATCAGGAGAGGAGAGAAAGAGTCTGAAAATTTTTTGTCTGAAATTAGGAGCACAATATATAAAGTTGCAAATAATCAATCAGTCTTTGAAAAAAAAAATCTGACTGTTAAACTAAGATTAACATCAACACTCACACATTGCAATCATATATTTACTGCTAATGAATCTGCAGGTGATGAATTTAAAAATGATTAAAAATCATTGTAGTTGTTACATGATGAAAAATAGTCGTTACATGATGGCATCAACATTCAATTATTAAGTTTAAAGAAGAAATGTTTGATAAAGTTCTAATGTGATTATGTGATAATTGTAAAACTATTGAGGTGCATGAGGTTGTGGAAAATTGTAGAAATTCGAGAATGGAATTAGACACAGGTTAAAAAATTGTGAGGATAAATCACTATTTATCAGCTTTCTACAACATGTTTGTGACTATTATTTTATTCTTTTTTATTTTCTATTACCATATTAACCACTTATCAACAAATTTTTAAGGTTGTTAATAATTTTTATCCATAAGCAATAATATATATATATATATAAAGTTATTTTGTGTTTTAATTTTTAGGTATCGAGATAAAAGATTTCATCATACAATGAATTTAACTAGACGATTTTATCCACACACTCATAATATGGATGGTTTTTTTGTGGCAAAGTTAAAAAAGTTTGCTAATAAAATCCCGAATGTTGAAAAGGGTAAAAAAATAATTCAAGTTTACTTGTTTGATTAAGTATATAATGTTTTCATATATATATATATATATATATATATATATATATATATATATATATATATATATATATATATATATATATATATATATATATATATATATATATATATATATATATATATATATATATATATATATATATATATATATATATATATATGTATATATATATATATATATATATATATATATATATATATATATATAATAACATCAAATGTTACGATTAATAACATCAAATGTTACGATTGCCACTCTCGCGGAATTGCCCACACACACACACACAAACACACACACACAGATATATATATATATATATATATATATATATATATATATATATATATATATATATATATATATATATATATATATATATATATATATATCTGTGTGTGTGTGTTTGTGTGTGTGTGTGTGGGCAATTCCGCGAGAGTGGCAATCGTAACATTTGATGTTATTAAGGCTATTAAAAATGAACCAAAAATGGAAATGACTTGAAACTTCTCAGAAAGGTGGAATACTATTACATAATTTAGTATGCAAAAGTTACAGTATTGTCTTATACTTTTTTCAAAAATTAACTCTGCGTAGCATGACGGTCGTAATATTTACTTTTTACCACTTCTGAACAAAACAGCTTTGTCAAACTAATTGCAGCAAAAGGCATGGAACAAAAAAAATCATTTGGTGTGTGTATTTTTGTTGTGACAGTCGCAACCGTGACGGTCATAACGAAAAATCTAATTTTGAAAAACAAGTAAAATAACGCAATCAAAAAAAAAAAAGATGAATAATCATAAAAAAAAAACTACGCACGCAACTTTTTTACCTTTCCTATCCCGTTTCCGTGAAAATACGGATGAGTGGAAACTCACCTTTATAAGCATTTCTATATTTTTTTTGTCGTGACGGTCGTAACCGTGACTGTCTAAACGAAAAATCTAATTTTGAAAAACAATAAATAAAACAACGCAATCAAAAAAAAAGTTGAGTAATCATAAAAACCATGTCAACTATGTAAAAGTATAAACTTAATAACATTATCAAAGTTCTCAATAATGGTTTTTTGATTCTATGTTCATTAAATTTAAAATTGGTAACTATAGGCAGGCTGCTTTATTTATTGATATTTTAATACTTTACTAAAGTTTAAATGGTTAATGCTCCCTGTTCCCAAACATAAGTTTATAAAATAATTCTTTCAAAGTAAAAATATCAATTTCAAAATTGTTTTCAAGCTTTGGTTACCAACTTTCACTTGATTTTTTAGCTTGTTTTTATTTCTTTTGTGTTCTTTGATAACTGTCTTCTTTAATAACTTCCCTTTCTTTTTTTTCCAACAATGCTTTTCCGTTTCTTGCTCTATAAGCTTTTGCTCTTTCAGCATCTGATTTAGGCATTTAAAAAATGTTATTAATTTAACTTTTGAGATTAACGTTCTGTTATGAATAAAAAAAAACTGCAAAATTTATAATCAAAAAAACCGCAAAATCGAATAAACAAAAACGTTGCAATGCAAACTATATAAAACGTTTTAGCGAAAGAAAAAAAATTTCTTTATATACATAGGAACCAAAATGGAAGTTAAAGGCTAATGTGTAGAGTTTTAATAAACTCTATAAATATATATGTTCTTGTAGGTTTTGAACTATTTTTGGAATGGAATAGTTTTGAACTATTTGTATATACATTGTATAATATTTTGTATATACATTGTATAATGTATTTGTATATGCATTATATATACATTTGTATATACATTGTATAATAATTTGTATATACATATGAACCAAAATGGAAGTTAAAGGCTAATGTATATAGTTTTAATAGGCTGTAGAAATATATATTTTCTTGTAGGTTTTGAACTATTTTTGGAACCTGGAATAGTTTTGAACTATTCCAGGTTTTCTCAACCAGGCTCAAGTTATGAAATATTGCTGTTGCTTTTTTTGCATCTTTTTAATTTGTTTTTTAATAAAAAAATTTTAAATGATTTTTCTGTTTTATCATTCTGATATAATGCTATTATGCAATTTATTAAAATATAGAATGTGTTCATTTGAGGCTTTGATTATAATAAAAAAGATTATTGTTTTAAAACTAGCTAACACAACTTTTCTCTATTAAAAAAGTTTTGGCACCTCAACACTGACAAATATGGTTCATTTCTCCAAGCTAATTCCAAGGTAACTCTCTATACTATTTTTTGCTATGCAATTCGCTCCACGTCTAAGTAATACATACATTTTTACGTCTCTTCTACCCTTATTTCTTTCATTTAGGTGATAATTAATTTCTTCTCGTCTAAAGTAATTTCTTTTATTTTGATGATGATTAATTTCTTTATTTTTAGCCTCATTTTTTTCATTTTGGTGACTATATATTCTTTTTGTCTAGACTCAATTCTTTCATTTTGACAATTTATTATTTTTTCAACTGTTTAGTCATTTGACATACAGAAGCAATTAAAAATTGTAAATAAATTACAGAAAATTTCTATCAAGAAATCTTTTAAAAATGATATAAAATTTAACAAATTTAAAATTTAACAAAAATTTAAAAAAAATTTTATCAACAATAAGTACAAAAAACATGTGAAACAGTTTAATGAGAAAATTTGTAGACAAATTATTAAAAGCATTTCACTTCATTCTTCAACATTTACATTCACACCATTAGTTCTATTAAAAGTTTAGATAACTTTAAAAAAAAAATTAAAACTCAATGAGTATAAAAATTCAAATAGTGCAGTACTAAAAATACTCTTGAAAAACAATATTTAAAAAAAAATGTGTTTAAAATAAAAAAGTCATATATGTCTTCATTGTAGGAAAATATTTACAACATTTATGCAATATTCATCTAAAGGAGTGGTAAAGAAAAACAATAATGTATAACATAGTATAACATAATATATTTAAAAATATATATATCTATTTACATCATTTAAAAATATATACATCTTTCTACATCATCTACAAATACAATTTGCTTAACTAATTATAATTGTAATTTATAAGTAACCCTCCCCCTCCCCCTTCTCTACCATATCTTCTTTTATTTCTCCCCCAATGAAAAGAGGGATCTTTTCTGCTGTTTGCTACCCATATCCTATGAACCCATAGAATAAGGGTTCTAGATGTGTTTTTATGTATAAAAGGAGAGCCTTACAAAACAAATCGAAAATGATATGTGACAAAAGAAAAATCTTACACAATGAAATAAAAGTTTGAATAATGGCATATATGGATGGAATGCATTGTATAGCAAAAAATAGCTTATAGAGATTATTAAGTAAATTTAAAATCTGTAAAGATTTTACGCAGCGCCATAATAATAATTCAGTACTTTCATTATAATGAAACGCAAAACTACAAACCAACTTACCACCAGCAACTAGATATTTTACAAAAACTGATGTTAATTTTCCATTGTTGTTGTTGTTGATAATTAAAATAGATAATTTTTTACCATGTTATGTTACATTTACCGTAAATAAAAAATAAAGAAAAAATACTTTGAAATTTTTTTTGCGTTAAATATAGAAATGCAAAGTACAATACTGATTTCATATTTTTATTTTTAGTGAGGTCAAGATTTTTTTATTGGAATTTTTGTATATACTTTAGGAATATATATATATATATATATATATATAATATATATATATATATATATATATATATATATATATATATATATATATATATATATATATATATATCTGAGTGTGTGTAAACATTACTACTTATTTGCAATCATATAAAAAAATATGTATATGATTCGTTAAGATGTTGAAGAAACAAATGAAGTTGAAAATAATAATGAAGAATGGGATGCAGTCAAAAAGAGAATCAACCGTTTAGCTCTTGGAAAAAAAGTCTCTGAGGAAATAAATGATACAAGTAAGATATTGCTTATAACTAAAAAATATACATTTTAAGAGAAAAGTTATTATTTTAAAATTCAATTATTAGGGAAAGTCGAAAAGAATGTGGAACCAATGGATGAAGCCCTTAAGGAATCTGAATCACAAACAAAAGTTAACACAGACTCTGACTCCAATGAAGAACTAAAAAAAGATAAAAAAGAAAAAAAGAAAAAGATTTTAACTAAGGACGGAAAAATAAAAAAACCTTCTAAAGAAGTAAAGTTAAAAAAGAAAATTAAAATGGGTTTGGTTAATGAAAATCATGCTAAAACTGAAGAACAAAGTTTAGAAAATACAGATAAGAAAGAAATAGAAAAAATAAATAATGACAAAACAGAAGAAAAACCATTGGCTACTAAGAAAACAACTCTGAAAAAAGGATTGAAGAAAAAGATAGCAAAAAAAAATTTGAATGATTTATAAAAAAACTTTTTCAACAAATTTTTACACAAAATAAACATAAAATAGCTATGCTTTTTATTTATTTTTCTGTTGTAATTTTTATTATAATAAATATTACTTTTTTAAATTACATTACATATGTGTGTGCATTTATATATATATATATATATATATATATATATATATATATATATATATATATATATATATATATATATATATATATATATACAGGGGCGGATGCAGGATTTTTTGAAGTTTGAGATAACTAACTTCCAGACATGGAGCGAACTCAAAACTTTTATATGTTTATAGTTATATCAAATAAGGATACTTTGCATAAAATTGAGATGATAGGAGCCTGGGAACAAAAAAGCCCTTAAAATTCTTGCTACACCTGCCCCAAACATGAGAGCAACAAGTTGATAAAATAATTTTTTTACTATTCTCAACTAAATCTATATTCATCGAGAATTTTTAAAATTCATACAATAATCTCTTAACCTTCAAAAGTTATAGCCACATAAAGTTTGAATCCCCCTCAATTTGAGGGGGTTACAAATTTTATAAGACCATTATTATTGAACGCTAAAAGATTGTTTTACAAAATTAAAAATTTCTCTATGAATATAGATTTAGTTGAGAAAAGTAAAAAACTTATTTTATCAACTTGTTGCTCTCATGTTTGGGGCAGGTGTAGCAAAAATTTTGGGGCTTTTTTGTTCCCAGGCTCCTATCACCTCAATTTTTTGCAAAGTATCCATATTTGATATAACTATAAACATATAAAAGTTTCGAGTTCGCTCCATGTCTGGTAGTTAGTTATTTCAAACTTCAAAAAATCCTGTATCCGCCCCTGATATATATATATATTAGGGTGTCCCAAAAAACAACATTTTTGAAAATAATCTGCTCTCACCCCCTAAATGTGTTTTATCTAATGCAAAAACACTAGGTTTAAATTTTTTTTGAATAAAAAATATTTTAAGGGGTCCCTCAAGACCCTCGAATATTTAATGGGTCCCTAATATTTTCGAAAAAAAAGTTTTTCAAAAATATGTCAACCTGGTACTCAAATGAAGCGAAATTATATAAAAATTTTAAAAATAATACTCATTTCCAAACAAAATTGTTATTTTTAGTTTTATTACATAAAAAATTGCGTTTTTTAAGAAAAAGTAAAAAAAAAATGCATTTCTAATGTTTTTTTATGATAATTTTAATAAATAATATAAAAATATTTCGAAATGAATATAATTTTTGAAATATTTATATAATTTTGCTTTATTTGAGTACCAGGTTGACATATTTTTGAAAAACTTTTTTTTTGAAAATATTAGGGATCCATTAAATATTCGAGGGTCATGAGAGACCCCTTAAAATATATATTTTTTAATGAAAAAAAATTTAAACCTAGTGTTTTTGTATTAGATAGAACACATTTAGGGGGTGAGAGCAGATTATTTTCAAAAATGTTGTTTTTTGGGACACCCTAATATATATATATATATATATATATATATATATATATATATATATATATATATATATATATATATATATATATATATATATATATATATATATATATATATATGACATTTTTTGAATATCTTTACTCTTAACCCCTAAACGCGTTTTATTTAATAAAATAATACTGGAAAATATTTTTAGGGGTTGCTCAAGACCCTTATAAATCAGACAAGTACCTAACACTATCAAAAACAAAAATTTCAAAACATGCAAGGAGTCCCACTACATCGTTTTGTAAATGTTTGGGTTGGGGCAGTAATTGTTTTTTTCATTAATCTTTGTTTTTTCTTTTTCTGAAAATTGAAGCGCACATTTTATAAACTAAAGGGTAGAAAATGTATTAGAAAATTGTGTCTTTAGATGCATATTACCCATTGTATATGATTGTATGTGTGTGTATATATGTGTATATATATATATATATATATATATATATATATATATATATATATATATATACATACATATATATATATATATATATATATATATATATATATATATATATATATATATATATATATATATATATATATATATATATATATATATATATATACACACACACACACACATATATATATGTGTGTGTGTGTGTGTGTGTGTGTGTGTGTGTGTGTGTGTGTGCGCGCTCAATATAACAGTCGCACATTGCTGCCCCTCAGACGGTTCTTGAGACCTGCTAGAGGATTGCAGCAAACCATTGTTGATATTTCAGTAAAAATGAACAATGGTTGGTTGCCTCCATAAATCAGATCTCAAAAACAGTCCGTGGGGTAGCAATGTTTGACCATTAAGTTGTTTCCTGATACTCAGTGGTGTACACTAGATTTTTAGATGTTTCAGTTTTGATACTTGCAGGCATTGTGCAAACTTCAATTTTTTGTATGTTCATGCTTATGTCAAATGAGAATGTTTTGCAAAGAGTTGCAGTGATTGAAGCTTGGGGACAAAAAAAACACCAATTTTCGGGCCCACCCAGTCCTTAACATGGGAGCAACAAGTTTATAAAATAATTTCTTTATTATTTTTATCTAAGTTTATATTCATCAACAAATTTCAAATTTCATGCATATATCTCTTATTTTTTGAAAATTATGACCATATAAAGGTTTAACCCCCTCAATTTGAGGGGGCTGTAAACTTTGTAGGGTCATAAAAGCTAAACACTAAGAGGTTATTGCATGAAGTTTGAAATATGTTGATTAATGCAAACTTAGATAAAAATACTAAAGAAACTAATTTATAAACTTGTTGCTCCCACGTTAAGGGTTGGGTGGGCCCAGAAATTGGTGTTTTTTTGTCCCCAAGTTCCAATCACTGCTACTCTTTGCAAAACATTCTCATTTGACATAAGCAAACATTTAAAAGTTTGGAGCTTGTAAGTGTCAAAATTCAAACATCTAAAAAATTTTGTGTTCACCACTGTATACTATATGTATATACTCTTGTTTAGTCATTTTTAATTTTTCCAATAAAATGTCTAGTATATGTATTCTTTTTTTATTATTTGATAGACTGCCTGCCCCAACCAAACCCTTGGTCAATGTAGTGGAACTTTTTGTAGCAGCAGGCTATAAGTTAGTTGATGTATCAACACTCCCTTGTAGCAGTAGGCTATAAGATAGTCAAATGTAGCAGAACTCCCTTAATATAAGTTTTATTAGTTTCATCAATTAAATAAATGCGTTTTGCTTCTGACCTTAATTTTGTCTTATTAGATGTCATAGAGTAGTTAAGTTTAATATTTTTTTTATAAGAATATATATATATATATATATATATATATATATATATATATATATATATATATATATATATATATATATATATATATATATATATATATATATATATATATATATATATATATATATATATATAAGTTACAATCTTTTACTGTAACTATTTCTTCATGCTCTGCAAACTTTTATTCATCTAGTTTATATTCTGGCTCATCTGATTCTGAAAATTTTCTTACTATGGTTTAAAAACCATAGTTTTTATGAGGTGAAATTTAAAAGGATGCTCTCTGATATTTTATATTAATCAATAAATAAGTAGTAGTAGTAGTAGTAGTAGTAGTAGTAGTAGTAGTAGTAGTAGTAGTAGTAGTAGTTGTTGTTGTTGTTGTTGTTGTTGTTGTTGTTGTTGTGTGTGTATATATATATATATCATATGTATATATATATATATGTTTTTCTAGTATAAATGGCTCATCTTACACCTAATCAGTATATGGAGGAAATATGTAAAGCTATTGAAATTAAAAATGGAAATCAATGGGCAGACCTGGTTGGTCATAAACATCCTCATGTGGCAAGTTACAAATTACATCTACCAGAAGCTCAAAGTATAACACAAAAGTTTTTTGACCCACCACTTGATGATATGATTGCTTTTCATTTACGAGCAGTATGGGCAGTCAGTGAAAATAATTATATTGAAGCATACAATTCACAAGTTTTGGTTGTACAAAGTTTTTTGAAAGTTTTTCAGTCAATGAAAGAAGAAAACTGGGCATTGCCTGTTTTGTATAACATTTGTTTAGATTTACGTTTGTTTGCATTAAGGGCAGATTGTAAAAATGTAAAAGAAGGGACTGGTAAAGAAAATGAAATTTTAGAAAAGTCAGCAGAATATATTATGAATTGTTTTCGTGTTTGTGTAAGTGATACTCGTGCAGCAATTGAAAACTCTAAAAAATGGGGAATGCTTTCAGTTGTGAATCAGTTATTCAAGATATATTTTAAAATTAATAAACTTCAACTTTGTAAACCATTAACAAGAGCCATTGATAGTTTGCAAATAAAGGACCAGTTTCCAAAAGCTCATTTAGTAACATATAAGTTTTTTGTTGGAAAAAAAGCAATGTTTGACTCTGAATATAAGCTAGCTGATGAATTTTTGTCATATTCTTTTGAGCATTGTCATAAAGAGTCAAAAAAAAATAAACGAATTATTCTAATTTATCTTTTACCTGTTAAGATGCAGCGTGGTAAGATTCTGTTTTATTTATTGTTTAATACTTTTATAAGTTTCTTTATAATATATTGAAATGTGATTCTCTCTCCAATCTGCAGGGAAAATGCCAAGTCTAAAGCTTTTAAAACGTTATAATTTGCACCCATTTATTGATGTTCGAAATTCTGTTGTTTGTGGGAATTTGCTTGCATTAACAAAAGCTCTTGATGAACATCAAGCATTTTTTATTAAAGCAGGAATATATTTGATTCTTGAGAAGTTAAAGATAATTACCTATCGAAACTTGTTCAAAAGAATTTCTTTAATTCTCAATACTCACCAGCTATCGATTGAGGTAAATTTTTTTTTTATTGATTATACAAATGTTATATTTAAAAGATACTAATTTAGTTATATAAAAATATTACTTTTACATAGTAAAAAAAAAAATAGTAAGTAAACTACTAAATCATATCATACTTATAAAAAGTTTGAAATTGAAATTTGAAGGGTTGTGATTGTATAGTATCTACATATGAAAAAGTTCTTTTAGGGTAAAACGAGTTTTTTTATTTTTTTTTTATTTATATATTTTTGTATTAAATATCTTTTTTATTGTGTCAAGATTAAAGTCTATCAATATATTATAGTATTATTAAAACCGTTTAGAGCTTTTGATTTTTTTAATTTAAAATTTGTTTTTATTTGTTACTTAAGTCAATCAAATGGTGGTTTTTATAAACTAATTATTGTGGATAATTAATTTTAATTGCAACTAGTTATTGGTCGAATTTGAATTAAGCAGTAATAAAGGGTTTCTGTAAGTTTCTTGTGGCCTTTTAAAGGCTAGAAGAAGTTTACAAAGGTGCTGTTTCCACTTCTATATGATATATAACTGATATGACATTTTTCTAATTAACAAAATTGTATAACATATTGTCTTGTCTATAGTGTCTCGCTCTCAGGTTAGACCATTTTTTCAATTACAAATGACCTTAATGTCTGATGAATAATTTTAATGATGAACCCTAATAATTTTTATAAGTTTTAAATCATTTCATAAAATGTTTTGGAGCAGTATTTGAAAAATAAATATTATAGTAAGAATGTCTTATTTTTGATTTTGAATCAAAATGTTACTTAACTTTGCCTTTTGCTGTGTATATGCATGTAAATTTATTCATAATAAAGATATAAAAAAGTTTTTAATTATTTTTTTTTTTTTTTTTATTAGGCATTCCGTGTTGGTTTACATAACATGGGACAGACAGATGTTGACACTGATGAAGTCCATTGTATTATTGCAAATCTTGTATATGAAGGATATATTAAAGGCTATATTTCATTTCAACACCAAAAGCTCATTATTAGCAAGCAAAATCCATTTCCTGCTCTCACAACATTTCTTTGAAAATTGTTTGTTTAAATAAATACTCTTATGGAGATAAGTATCCTTTATGGAGAAGTATCCCTTCCAAATTTTAATAGTATTATTAAAGTGTTTAATGTTTTTTTTTTGTTCATATTTATTAAACACTTTTTTTATTGAACTTCAAAGGTTTAAGAAAATAATAAATTATAAATCATTATAAGATACTTATTTATTATTTTAAAAAAAGAATTAATTTAGTATAACTATGTTTCTAATATACCTTGAACTAGGTATAATAACCTCAGAGCAAGGAAACTAAATATTGTGATTTTTTTCTATTTTAGTATTTTTGTATTATTTTAATGATAATATTTATTTGCCATTGTGACACCTGAAAAGTATGTGTAGTGGAGAAATTTGTATCATATATATAGTCTTTTATAAAATAAATACTATAGCCATCTCTTAATTGTTGTCAAATTTACTTTTGATATTTTGAATTGTCTTGTTCAGGTTTTTATTATTATAGGTTTATATTATTAATTATATATATTTTAAATATATCATTTTATTATTATAGATCATATTATTATTTATATATATTTATATTATCATATTATCTTATTATTATATTATATCATATTTATTATATATATTTTATAGATTTTTATTATTATAGTCATATTATTATTTATATATATTTTATATATATCATATTATTATTATATATATTTTATAGATTTTTATTATTATAGATCATATTATTATTATGTTTTATTATTATAGTTCATATATATATTCAAAACACCTTTTTATTATTATTTATATTCACAACATTTCACTATTGGTATTATACATTTATTTACAATCCCCTGCTATTATTACTATAGGTGTGTTTACGCTACTTTATTAATATTATTTTTAATATTTGTAATACACTGTTGTTATTACAACTTTATTCGTCTTTATTATTAGTGTTAGTTTACAAACTCCTCAGTTATTAATTAGTTTACAAACTCTTCAGTTATTATTTGTAGTTGAATTTATAGAACAATTTTATATGGTAAATTAATATGTCTACTAATGTCAATGTATACTTGAAGATATATTTGAGTATTTAAACACGTGATTAATGATAGATTTAATAACATTACTTTGTTAAAACTGTTTTTACCATCTATTTGCAAAGATAATCTTTTTAATTTTATTTTATTTTATTTTAAGGTAACACAAAGTAGACACTTATAAGGTTTCATTTAAGTTAAATAAATGAAGTGGTGGCTAATTGTTTTGATGTTTAAATAAATGTTGTTTTGATATTGTCATTGATTTTTAAATATATAAATCGTTGTGTTGTAATATTTTTATCACTTTTATTTCTTGGATTCTTGGATCTATTATTGTTTAGCAGCCAAGTGAAACCGTCAAAAAAATGAATTTAGTGATATCTGATTTTAACCATAACACTGTCAGGGTATTTATTATTATTACCCATTTTAATCCCTAAAACAAATATGTAACATAAAATCATTTTATTTTCAAACAACCTGGTGGGCAGCATAAACATCTGAAAATATCACAAAGTAATTTACATTCATTTACAGGCGTTTTTTGATAAAAAAAGTTTAATAAATTCAAAAATTTGCTTCAGTTTTCATGCTTCACTGCAGGTATATTTGGGTTCACAAAAGTAAACCTTGAAATACTTTGGTGCTTCAGTTTTCATTGCTCTTTCATGCTTCGATGCAGGTATATTTGGGTTCATAAAAGTTGAAATATTTTTAAAACAATATGAAATTTTGAAGCTGTTACGATTTGCTTTTAAAAATTAATAAACCTAAGCGTAACTTAACCTATTCCAGTAACTATTATTTTTTTACATATTTTTTTAAACTTTCAAAGAAAAACGTATTGTTTAACAACAATAATATTATTCAAAAATTGTAAGTTTTAAGTTTGGTAACAGTTTCTGATTATTGATTTTTTCACAATAAATGTCAGTTACAGAAGCACTAATGCTATGTGGAGAAATTTTTTCAATAACTTTGCATTTTTTTTTTTTTTTTTTTTTTTGCAAAGTCACGATGTTTAACGATGATGCAAAGTGTTTATGCAGATATAATTGTGTTGGTCAATATATTAGAGATTTTTCCTTTGCTAACCAACCAGTACTGAGTTTATCACCATTATAAGAATTTTTTTTTAGACTCGATTAGTATCTCACGTTATACTTTTTTAGCTGTTTTGATAGGCATAACAAGTTTTAATTGCACAACAAACTCGAGCTGCAAAAAATTTTCTTCTATGTAATTTTTCTTTCTATGTAGACGTAAATATGACTTCAAATATGATACTTCAGCTTGATACCTATATAAACTAAAAAGGATTATGCATATAATATTGGTTTATGTACGCTTTGTTTTTGTTTCGAAGGTGATCGTTTTGTGTATGTTGTTTGTTTTTGTCTAGACTTCATTTAATCGAGAATTAAAAGTACTTTTATAAATTCGATCCAGTCTTTTTTTCAAATTACTCTATAACGCGGCTCGAATAGAATAGTTGTTACAATAATTAAAATAAATTTTAATGATATTTCTCTTTAGTAATAATGAGTAAATCGAACGAGTCAACTATCCGTAAATTAAGAAAGAAACTTCGACAAATAGAGACACTTGAAAAAATGGAGCGTACACTTACAGAAGAAGAAGAATTAAAAGTAAGTTGTGTGACCATAAAATCTGTGTCTGAAAAAAATAACTATCTTTGAAGTTAAAAAATTTTGGTCTTTTTGTATAAAAGATTTTTGATTTTGAACCATATTTCTTAATAAACGCTAGGACTTCTAATAAACTCAATACTGTTTTTTTTTTTTAATTGTTATATAAACATTATTAAAAAGTAAATATAAAGAATAGACAACAAAATTATATTTTTAAATTATAAACAAAGTTCTATCTTTATCTAGCTGTATGATTTAAAATATATTATACTCAAAACACAGCGATCTTTTGAATTCATTTTAATGAATATTAGTAAATATTTTCCAAAAAATATTTACGCATAAATTATATTTCTAACCAATAGTAATTCAATTAAGTTAATAATTTCAAGTCGTTATTCTGTACAATAAACTGTGGCGTGGGGTGAACCTCTGAAGAAATGTAAAACGAAACTAACTGTTTTTGTCAAGAAAACCCATATTCATTACTTAGAAATTATTTATCTAAGTTTTTAGCTCTATGTAGTATTCATTTTTTAATTTTGATTTAGTTACAGTTTATTATTAAGTATTATTTTTTAATTTTAAAAGTTTAGTTTTATATATTGTTTTTAAGATTGATGCTAAAGAAGATATTCGCTCTGAATTACACAAGTTGGTTAAATTTCAAGAAAGTATGACTGCATTAACTAAGGAAGTAGACCATAGTGTGATTACAACCCCTGTTGAAAAATCAGCTAACGCTAAAAGTAATACTTCCGATAATATACTTGCTAAAAAGTACTAAATATATTATAAATTGTATAGATGTTTATAAATAAGGTGACCATAGCCCTGGCAGCAAAATTGAAATTTTACCAGGGTGTAAAAGCTTATTCTCTGGCGTAAAAAGCAAAGTTATGGTCAAGTTATTTATACTCTTAACTATTAACGTAAATAAATTGTATTATTTGTAAATAAATTTTATTTCTTAATTTTAGTACATGTAAATAAGTAAATATGTTTTATTTTTAGAATTTTTTTATTTGCAGGCAACAACATTTGTAAAAATAAACTAGAGCCAAAAGTTGTTCTATCTGAAAGTAGTACCGATAATCACATAAATGATGTTGGATTTGTTATTCCGTATGCTATCGATGCTAGCGCTCAGAATAACTTTAATGTGACTGATGTTATAGACAATCAAACTATTGAGAAAATTACCAACGAAATTAATGACAAAACAACAGACTTGACAGAAACTGATTCTGAACCGATTTCAAAAGTTAAAAAAATGTCCGGAAAAATAAAGAACAAATGTAATTCCGGTACAGTTCAAAATAGTTTCAAACTAAACTTGTCTGAAACTATTTTTAAAGACTTGAACTTTAAATTAACCTTATTAGAAGGTCATCATGACGACATCTGCGCAATCGATGTATTTGGCGATATGGTTATCAGTGGGGGGTATGTTTTAACACGTTATTGTAACCGTTTTGTTAAAAACTATTTCCGAAGCTTAGAAATTTAGAAATTTTAAATTTTTTTTAAGGCGTGATACGAGTTTAAAACTTTGGTGCTTAAAAAAAAACGAAGAAATAAAAAGTTTCGGCGGACATAACGGAACTATTACAGGAATTCGTTTTCTTGTCGATAAAGAGTACACAAACTATCCTAATGTTATTACATCGTCGTACGATTGCACGTTACGTGTGTGGGACCTAGAAGAAGGTGAATTTTTATTTTATAATTATTTTTCTGTTTAAAGTTTCCTGATTAATGAAAGTCTAAATATTTTTTAAGGAAAAATTCTTAAATCAATTTATGTTTATTCGCCGGTAGTTTGCATTGATTATCAAAAAAGTACTGTCGGTGTTGGAACTGGTAAATATCGTTAATAGTTACTTTATTTATATAATCTAGCAACAAAAAGTAATATGAACAACTCCTATCACTTTAGAAGCAGGTAAACTAGAATTATATGATACTGACAGCGGTGAGAATCTTTTTTCAGTAAATGCTTACGATGCACCTGTATCTGCAATTAAGGTATGAATTTATAAGGTAAGAATTCTGTATATGTTATCAAGCGATGAATAAGAGTTAAGAAAAGTGCGCAGAGTGCATTTTCAAACGCTCTATATGATGTATTATTAGATATTACCAGATCGCAGAGTAGCTGTTGGTTCTTCTACTGGTATTCTTAAAGTATATAATACACTTTGTAAAGAATTTGATGTTGAAAAAGATGTGTTTTCCGTCGATCATTCTATTAAAATTAATCAACTTAGCTTTTGTAATAACGCGACAAATCAACTGTTAAATTTTTCAAATATAAGTTGTATTAGTTGTTATAACGACCTTGTTTTTTATGGTGATGAAGGTTACAATATTAAAATGATCAACTGCACAAAAGGTATTTTTTTAATTTAGTTATCTATTATGTTTTGATTACAAAATATAAGTTCGTTGCAGTGTTATTTTTTATAAAATTTTTTGTAAGGAGAACTGTGCAAAGTGCGAAACAACGTTAAAGAATTTTGTCCTACAGAAGTTTTAGAGGTTGCTAAAATCGAAGGTCAAGACTACTTGTTTAGTGTTGGTTTGGATGTGGATAACGGAGATGGATATGTCAATAGTAAGTTATCTTAGTTGAACATTGCATATATATATATATATATATATATATATATACATATATATATATATATATATATATATATATATATATATATATATATATATATATATATATATATATATATACATATATATATACATATATATATATACATATATATACATATATATATATACATATATATATACATATATATATACATATATATATATATATATATATATATATATATATTATATACATATATATATATACATATATATATATACATATATATATATATACATATATATATATACATATATATATATACATATATATATATATATATATTTATATATATATATATATATACACACACACACACACACACACACACACACACACACACACGCACACACACACACATGTATACACATATATATATATACACACACATATATATATATATATATATAATATACACACACATATATACACATATATATACACATATATATATATATATATATATATATATATATATATATATATATATATATATATATATATATATATATATATATATATATATATATATATATATGAAATTACTTGTGTTAGTATGAAAATCATAATTACGATTTTTCAAAAGAAGTCACTCTTTATTTCTATTTTAGATACGATTCCAATTAAAAAACTTATTTTTTGACTTTTTGTCCAAAAATGTTTTATTACTTTTCAGTTCGTACGCTTCCAGACTTAAAATACATGGGAACTATACATGATAGCGTCAATAATTCCGGAACAATAAAATGTATGCGCATTGAGGAGGTTGATTCTGGGTTTCGTCTTATAACTGGTGGTACTCAACTTAGAGTCTGGAACCAAATAAAGACAAAAAATACAAGAAAACGAAAAGGGTAAATTTAAGCTTTTATTTTGCAGGGTTTTTTATGACATATCTCATCGGTTTCTCTTTTTAAATTATTGAATCAAAAAATACAGGTTTTGCATTGAGTCAAGTGTTTCTGTTGTCGATTCATAAAGAGAGTTTAAAAAAAAGTTTCTAAAAATAAATACACTGCATTGCTGAATAAAATTTTTTTTATTATTATAAAAATTAAAAATTATTTTTTATGAAGTGGGATCCCTGCAGCCATTATTAGGTACTAATATTGCTGCACCAATTCAATCTTAACATATCCCATGCCATGTTTTTTAAGCATGATCTGAAAATAAAAAGGATTTTAAACCGAGTAGGCTCTACGTCCGGATCAATTAATACCTGACCTAGTTCAAACAAATATATCAAAAATAATTTTACGCTAAACTTATTAAAGGGAAATTGATAATAAATTTTTTTGCAAAGATTCAAATATTAGTTTAAAAAGCTTTTTGATCTTAAATTATAAACTTTTTTACTAGTTGCCTATAAAACATTAAAAATATACTTTTTTTTTTCCAGTTCTGTGGAAGATACATTAATCCCGTGTAAGTATATTTGCAACTATAATGACATAAAGGATTCTGAACCTGAGTCTGATTTAGAGGAAAGCCAATCGACACCAAGTGTTCAATCTTCATGCACTGAAAATCATCCAGTTGGTCAAAAATGGTGCGTCATCCTTTAACGATTGTAATTGAAATACGTAAATTAGTAGAAAATGATTAATGGTTTAACGCAATAAGTTTATATCAAATCACTGTATATATTTGTATATAACATAATAAGGGAATTTCTAACTTATTTAACTTTATTTAACTTTCAAGTTTTAAGTATGTTACATAAATGCTATTCGTTTATATTTGCACATCATTGTTTATGTACGTATAAATCAGGGCCTTCTTAAATAGAATTCCTTGACACCATGCGGGAATGTGGCGCAGTGGTTAGAGTTCTGGCTCAGAACCCACAGATCCGAGGTTCGACGCCAGCTCCAGCCCAACAAGCGACATTAGTACGGAAGGAGGCGTGAACTTCCTGTTAAATGCTCTCCCACGGTGCTCTGTGATAAGCCCGAAAGGACTTCAGGGAGCACCTAAATAATTATTAAAAAAAACAGTGGTTTATGAGTATCCCTCTCTCACACTGGACTATCAAGATATAGCGTTGTTTGTAAATTGCATTGGGCAGATGATGCTGAGTTTACTTTATATCGTGGTAAATTGAGACCAGTTAAACCTCTATCAGTGTTTCCAAATATCTCTAAAAGTTGTCTGTCCTCTCCACCACCAAAAATGAGAAAAAATCTTCTCCAAAAAGAGGTACGTTTTTAATTGTGTGGTTCCACTAATTTTGCTGATAATCAATGTTTAATGTTTGAAGCATTTCATTATGGTTCAAAATGTTAAACCTCTTTCGAAAAATAGAATAAGCTTTAAATGAAGATCTTCGATATCTAAGAGTTAAAGATGAGGATCATAAAACCTAAATATTATTTGAGCATCTAAATATAATGGGAGATCATTCTGTTGGCTTTACTGTATATTCACCTGATATAATAACCAAGGCTTTAAATATTTTGCAACAAGTCGTTCCACTTACAATCAATTATATTGTAATTATCAATTGCCAAGTATTCGAACTTTAACTCGTACAACTTCATAAATAAATTTTCAAGATAATTTAGTTTTTTAAAGTTCTGTGTTATCAAACCTTCAGGAAAAAAAAAGAAATCGTGTTTTATTGATAGATAAAGTTTATGTAAAAGCTGCTTTATTATATCAAAGTGGAAATTAGTAATCTAACATCAGATTTCCAACTAGACCTATGTAATCCGCCAGTTACTAATCTAACATCAGGTTTCGAAATAGACAAATTAATTGTTGACACCATAGAAAGTTCTATATGTAATGTAAAGGTAGTTGCAATTATTACTGATGGTAATAAAGTTAACCAAAGCTTTTTTACTAAATTCAAAACTGTAGATGGAAAACTTTGATTATGTCTAAATTGAAGTTACATTTGATATGACTATGTCCATCTTTTAAAGTGTATAAGAAATAATTGTCTGACAGAAAAATTAGGTCAGTTGCAATTTATTTATAATGAAATATTTTACAATGCAAATTGGAGAGATGTAGTTAACTTATATACACTTGAATAAAACCAATTATTAAAGTTATCTAAGTTAACTGAAACATTAATAAATCCTAAACTACTAGAACGACAAAAAGTAAGCACTTGTTTAAAACTTTTCAGTGAAGAGACAGTTGCAGCTCTAAATCTTAGATTCAGGGATAAGTCCCCTAATGTAATCAGATGACGTTATCTTTAAAAAACTGCTTGTTATTGCAACAATGGCTGAAAATATGAAACCAGCATCTGGAAAACCAGTTTACCAGCTTACAAAAGATGCAAGCAATGCACTTTCACATACTTGTCGTGGTCTAATCAATTTGTCATGCCATCTTTTATCAACTGGAAATAAAATGTAATTTTAGGTTGGTTTTCTTCTGATCCGATTGAAAAACGCTTTGGAAAATTACGTCAAGGATCAGGTGGTGCTTATTTTATAACCGCTAAATCAGTTATTGAAAAAGTACGTATTCAACATGCTAAGCTGGTGCTGCATCTAAATATCGATGTAGAAGGAAATGATGGCTATGACTGTCTTTTATGTCTTGAAGATTTATATGATTGGGAAATATATACTATTTACAATTTAGCAGATCTAGAAGATAGCATAAATATAGAAATTTTATATTCTATTGTCTATATTGTTGGTTATGTTCAAAAGTGTTCCACTGAAGAAATTGATACAATTACATATAAAAAATACGGAAATTATTAAGATACTTCAAATATGGGTGGCTCACTTTTGAAAAATTTTAGAATTTAGGTTTGGCTGTGCAATTTTTTCATGTCTTTGACCATATGGTACTGAGAACCAATTTTCTTTTTATTTAATGCTTAATCAGGTAATTTTTAGCTTGAAAATTTAATCTTAATCATAAATATATTGTTTATGCAAAATTATGGAAATGTTTTACTGCACTCAACAAAATAAAGTCTTTAGTGGCGGGATAGCTCAAATGGTTAAAGCGTCGAAGGAAAAGTTAAAATCCGGACTGTTGAACGATACGAGTTCAAATCCCGCCACCGCCAACTCAGCACTTGAGTAGTACTTTGGTATGCAAAATTGTTGGTCAATAACGGACGCTACTTTAGATTAGTCTTAATGACTATTTATGGCTGTTCCTATACTTTATGGAAAAGTATATATTTTGTTTTATCCACATTTAATGAAAGTTTGTTACTTACGAACCATTCATTAACTTTACATAACTGTTCATTAACTATTTTTAAAAATGTTTTAATATCTCTGTGAGAATAAAAAAGATTGGAATCATCAGCAAATAAAATTAGGTCTAAAAGATTTGTTGCTATGTGTAAGTCATTGAGCCCTGAAAAACCCCACAAGTTATGAAATATGGAGTTGTGTTATTTTGATCATAATATAAAAATTGCTAAATTTTTATCATAATATAAAAACTCCTAATGTATAACAGTCATTATCAAAGGCGTTAGATATTTGATTAGAAAGTTCAACTATTGCATTTTTAGTGGAATTTTTTTATATATACAATACTTGTTTTAAATGAAAGATCAAAAACATGAAATAAAGAAGGTTCAATAATATCAAATACTTATTTGACAATATCAATACTAATTTTATCAAAACCTTCACTTTTTTTACTTTTGAGACTGCTAAATCTCAGCTCGCTAAGTTTTAAATTAGTTTCGTCCATAAATTTGTCATAAGTTTTTAAGTGTGAATCAAAAGGTTAAAAGTAAAAGAATCAACAAAACACAAGGAAAACTATATATTTATGATAAAGCATAAATTTTCAAGCTGAAAATTACCTGACTAAGCATTAAATAAAAAGAGAATTGATTCTCAGTATCATCATATGGTCAAAGGCATAAGAAAAATGCCCAGCCGAACCTTATTTCAAAAAATTTTCAAAAGAGACTCACCCTACTAACTATTCTATTTGACACTTTATCTCAATGTTTCTTATTTTGCTATATTTTTTTAATTAGATAAAAGAGTTTACAGAACATTTCTGATTCGACAGTTTACATTTATTGTAGAGTTGTACAGATTTTATATTTTAAAGAAACAATGTCAAACACTGGCAAACATTTTTTTAAAGAACTTTGCATTACTTCACACCATGGCCTACTAAATTACACGGCCGTGTATGTTACATTTTAGAGGCTGCGCAACTATAGAGAAAAGATATTATGATATCTCATCTAGACTAAATAAATAGTACACTCTTAATTAAAACGGTGTAAAATTAAAACGGTGTTTTTTGAAACTTTTTTTAACAAAAAGTGTAAATTTACACCGTTTTGGTGTAATTATACACTCTAAAAGTTAGTTTTTGATAAAACTGTGTGAAATAACATCTTTTTATAATCACTACACCGTTTTAAAAAGGTGTAAAAATAAATTATTGTGATTTTTTTTTCTTTTACACCTTTTAATAAAACGGTATAAAACGGTGTAAAGCTGTTTTACACCGTTTTACATCGTTTAAATAAAAGGTACACTTTAAATTAAAAAGTGTTAAATTACACCAAAACGGTGTGCAGCATGAAATAAACCAAAACGGTGTTAATTTACACCGTTTTGGTGTATTTCATGCTGCACACCGTTTTAGTGTTAATTTACAGCGTTTTGGTGTTAATTTATAAAAAAAAATTAAAAAAAAGTATTATTTTACACCATTTTTATAAAAATAAACCTTCAAAGTATATAATTACACCAAAACGGTGTAAATTTACATCTTTTGCTTAAATCATTTTCAATAAACACCGTTTGAGGCTATGTTGATACCAAAAAGGTGTAATGTTACGCCTTTTCATAAAACGGTGTAAACCTGAGATTATATTTTTGTAAAACGGTGTAAAACAGCTTTACACCGTTTTACACCATTTTACAGCGTTTCATTAACACGGTGAAAAAATAGAAAAACTTTACATTATTCAAATTTTATACTAAAACGGCGTAGTAAATAAAAAAAAGGTGTTATTTTACACCGTTTTGATAAAAATACACCTGTGTATTTTTATCAAAACGGTGTAAAGTTACACTTAAACGGTGTAAATTTACACCTTTTTCCGAAATTATTTTCAATTAACACCGTTTGAGGTTATATTAACACCAAAACGGCGTAATTTAACACTTTTAAATTTAGAGTGTAAGTTTATGTTTTTGGTGTAAAACTGTTGGCAGCTTTTGAAAAAAAATTTAAAGCAACTCTAGACCATCTAATGTTGATACACTTTCATATAAAGCTGCTCAATAAAAGATTTGATAAAGATTTGCACTGTTGTCAGTGCAAATCTTTTTCAACGGTGTCAACGGTGTCACAAAACAGTGCAAAAGCCTTTTGCACTGTTTTGTGACACTGTTTGGTAAGCAACTTTACAGTGTTAACAGTTTTACTCCGTGTAACCGATAAAGCTTACACCGTTTTATGAAAAACACCGTTTCGTAAAACTGAAATTATAACTTTGTAAAAAGGTGTAAAACAGCTATAGAGAAAAATGAATGCGGGAGAAGTAGGACAGCCTGAAATTTCTAATTAGGAATGGTGCCTAAATACTGTTGTTTAATACAAACAAATAAATTTCTTTCCTCTCTATTTAGCAGAAATTGCTTTGTTTCCCTGCATGCGCTAGAAGATCTAATTTTGAAATGTACCTTAAAAAAGTGTTTTCATTGGGGTGAA